AAAAAGCTGGCCAATGTCCTGAGAAAATGTCCTCAGAAAAATGTTACTATCATTAAAATAAAAATTAGGATATTCTGAGAGCCAAGATCACTTTATCAGCGGGTGATAACCTGTTTAAGGAGGCTGCAAGTTTAATGACGTGAATTCAATGCGCAGTAGCTTCAGCTCTCATGTAGCAATGTTCATATTTCAACTCTTTAACGACCTCGTAATTTAGAGTATCCAGTGGTATTTGAGAGAAGAATGTTCACAGGACAAAAGTATCGGGTTCTGAACATTTTTATTTAACACAGGGGGCGATAGAGGCAATTTTTCGAAAACCCTATTCATTCTGGCCGGAGAGAAATGGAGCTTAGACCCGGAGTTCCTAATATGGGCATAAGAGCATGGCGCCGACTACAGAATGACGACACGACTACAGTGGTCTATAGAGTCGAACTGCAATGAAAGGCGTTTCCGTAAAACAAGAACGTGCACATCAGGAACGCCCACTTATCTTTCATTGGCGTTTCTGTAAACAAGAACGCCCACATCAGGAATGCCCCCTTTATTGGCGTTTCCGTGAACAAGAATGCCTACATCAGGAACGCCCCCTTACTTTTCATTGCCGTTTCCGTCAACAAGAATGCCTACATCAGGAACGCCCCCTTACTTTTCATTGCCGTTTCCGTGAACAAGAATGCCCACATGAGGAACGCCCCCTTACCATTCGTTGGCGTTTCCGTGAACAAGAATGTCCACATCAGTAACACCCTCTTATATTTTATGGGCCAGTATGTCTGCAATATGGCTTCTCTCGTTGGTGGAGATGACTTAATGGTGAAAATACGCCAAATATTTGTAAGGACATTACTCATGTTAAATTAGTATTGTCCCTACATATTTACCTAATCGTCATTTCAAAACAAATATGGGTGAATGTATAGCTTCTGAGGATTTATATAGAGTACTGTCTCCGGGTTTAGAGATCCCTGACATCTGTAGTAGACTTCTTTTTTACCTTTCTTTGTGGTACATTACTCAGCTCAGCAAAGTGCATAAACCTGTTGTATGGCAAGTTGAAATGGCAAACACGGCAATACTGTAATAATAAAATAATAAAAAAACAACAAAACAAAAAAAAACTAAAAGCATCTTAGCTGACTGAAGGTAACTTTCGGGTCATACTGTTATATAAGATTGTATGTATGCCCATAGCTCAGCTATTATAATTGAGCAGTTCGTAGCAGTTTTCTTTTGTTACCTGTCTGTATGATTTAAGTAAATTAATCAGCTTAACAAAGTATGGAATTTGACATCCTGCAATTGATATAACATGTTGATATTGTTATAATGTAGCCAGAAACCCTACATGCATCTTTTCCCACAGCTCAATTAAATTTTAGTACTTGATAAGTTAACCTTGATCAACATGAAATAACAGAAGAACACACATTCAAAATCCCAGTGATGGTGATAACCTTCAAAATAAAGCTTATAAACCAGACTTTTCTCATAATTATAAGACTTTTGGAGGAACTAAGAAAGCTGAATTCTACAGGCAATATAATTCAGCACACTTTAATGAACAGTATTTGCATTTGCTCCATCTGCACAGCAGAGCAGCACCCAAGTCTGCACGACCTTTAATGTTTCAAGACATACTAGGAGGAACATTGACACAGTACACTGGGATTCTTCTTTTGTCCCGTACTTCCTCCAGAAAGAAGTGCATGTCTGCCATTGATTCAAAAGTGAATTCCAATGGAGCTCTAAAATCCACCTCTTCATACAGGATGGCATGAAGACTAATTTCTCAAGAGCTTTGTCTCTGTCCATAGACAGAATCAGAGAAGGGTGAACTTGACATAGGAATTTCTCCATATGTTCCAAATACCAAGACTATGTTGCTCAAACATTTCTCATCATCCCTGACTCCTGTATTAAAAAAAGATAATAATAAAAAATAAAAATAAAAATAAAAACTCTGGTGGGAATTAAGATAATTAACTCCATAATTAATAGATATCAAGCTTACTATGTAGATCATTTTTAAACGCATATTTTAGGCATATACTACACACTTCTGAAACAATTACAAATTTGATCAAGTATGCAAGCACATAGTGATTACATAAACTAATTTTTAAACACAGGCTTCTCTGAAAGTTGTTGTGCTGATATGTATATTAAAAAGGTACGTATAAAACCTCTGCAAAGGTCCTTGTTAGAGCAATTTCTACATACCATAAGTTCATGAGGCTCTCAGTTTCACAGCTGTGTCCGTGGCTGGGTTCAAGTTGGCTCTCAGTGTTCTGGGTCTCATGTACGACTAGGCTGTAAGTCAAAAAATGAATCTGTAATTAATTATGTTGTTTGCAACTTTATTCCACTGGAACTGAGGCATATACTAAAAAATATAGGTGAAAAAACATGTTTGGCCCAACTATAAAAAATGTATGTCGTGCCTTTTGTGTGGAAACTTCTCCAGCAGCTGGTTGCTCCACCACCTTCTGATAGCTGGCATGTCCAACTGAGTATGTTTTATTTTTGGTTCTGAAGGCCTGGAGTCACAAAAGAGTGATTTCCCTGCTCAAACACACTTGTTTCAACTTGCTAGTTGATTCAGCATGTGTGTTCAAGCAGGAATACCCGCAAACTGTGCTGTACACCGGCCCTTAGCGGAACTTAAAATGTTTATTGTGCAAAATATGTTGTGCGCTTAAGTGTTATAAATGGCTTAACTTAGAACATTATGGACCAAAACATTTTTTCTCAGAAAGACTGATTGTGGAATTGTTAATTCACTAATGTAACAAATGTAACAAAATTACATTTTGTTAGCAATACATATAAACAGATGGAGAGATCTTACCTCATTAAAGTCAAATGGCATTGAGAGTGCAATGTAAAGTGCATACTGCAATGCTAATTTTTGTTTCATTGAATATTAAGAGAAATGCATGTAAAATTATTTTAGAAAGTACTTAAAGTTTTCATAAATTACCATTAGCATGAACACTCCACAGCCATAGCTCTTGAACTGCAGAGGTGTTCCCTGTTGTTATCTTATGTTATGATCTTATTTAAATTACTTTCCATTAAACAAGATTTTGCTACCAAAGAAGTGCAAAAACTTTACCTCACAGTCTTTTAAGTAAAACACCTTCCACTGCTCAAGGAATATAGCATTTGCCGGGTTCCTAAATAAACAAACAAACAGATGACATAAATAAACAAACAAAAACAAATTAAAACATCATCAGTATCCAGCTTCACAGTGTTTTAAATGGGCACAATGGACATTTTCAACAGTGGTAATCAGAACTTTGCAATGAGAACAAACTGCTTTAACAAAAAACACATGAACAGTATGAAACTAATATTGAAAACAGACAACAGAAAAAAAGTATGGTCTAAGAACGAACTTCCATACTTGAACATGGTCAAAGTCGCCCTTTAAGACAGGCTAATATTGATTACTGAATATAGATTACTGAAACTAAAAAATTATAGTTAAAAACATACATAACCCTGTGTCAATTGTTACATAAACCTGAAGACATATATGTAGCGGCCATCACCAATAGCACTTGGGTTTTTCGAATCTAACAAGTAAAGTTCTTTCAGTCTTGGCTTAAAATCCTGTTAAAACATGCCATGGAATTAAACATCAATTAATTATATAAATAACGTGAATACACCAAGGACACATGGCTGTGAGCAAAAATAATGTAGAAAATCATCAAAATCTCGAACAAATTATTCAGACTTGATTTCTAAGCAACTTTTAACACACAAAGAATAAAAGACTTCTTACACATAATGTCCAGTGTCCAGGGTGCCAGGCGGGAAGAAAAACAACATTGCAACTTTAGTTGCAAACTGCTACTGGAATACACATTGTTGAAAGCAACTACACCTGAAACCCCGTCTGCGTAGCTCGAAGCATCTGCGTTCGCATCTTTGCGTGAAGTATGTTTGAGACTTTAGGGTCCAAGACTACCAAAACAGATCAGGACAATCTCCATCAAACAAAGTCCTAGAAATTCTATGATCTTGATCAGGAGGGTGCAAGAACAAACCTTCATTTTTGTTCCTTTTGCTAATTTTTGCACTTAACCCTTTGTTTTAGGGTTTGTCCACTTTGGTAACAGTAATCAGTTTAGACTTCCCTAAGTCCAACTCTACTATCAGAGGTATAAGTAATGAATTACATTTACTCTTGTTACTGTACTTGAGTCCAGTTTTCCCTGTTATGGTACTTTTTGGAGTAGAATTACATTTCCAATAGGAAAGTAACTGATCTCACTCACGTTCAGATCACCATCTTTTTTTTATCATAAAATAACTGAGAATGAGGAGTGAGACATTTCAGCAAGTCTTGATATTAGTTAACAAAGACAAAACTGCCAGAAAAATACAAATATGTGACAATGTTAAAAAATAATCTTAAAGTATTCTTGAGGTTTTCCTGTATATGTGGTTATGGGTGAAGTTCCACTATAGTTTAAACACTGTAATGTTTGATGATAACAAAGCCATTAATCCTAACTGCTTCATCTAGCACGTGCTTATCTACACTTTAGTCACTGTAGTAAAGATAAGCTTTATTGAAGCTCTAGCAGCTGTGTTTTCTTTGTCACTGTGAGCCGTTAAAGCATTGAAAATAAAGCTTTTGGTACATTAACCATCAGAGTTAATCTCATGTGTGAAGCTAAATCCTGCATTAGCATTATGCTCTGGAGACTCTTTGGAAAACTTAAGTGCTCTGTTGAAAAGCTCTGGGCTGTGACTCACTGTGAAGAAACGGTATAAAAGCGAGTAAAATTTGTTCATGCTATTCGGCAACATGACTAACAGGTAAGTGAGAGAACACACTTTTACAATGTTATTATAATTATAATATAATTTTATTTTTAACTGCAATCTGAAGAATTCTCTTTATTTACATTGCTAGAAAAAAACAGCTAAACCAGTATCAGAGCAGCACAGTACAAACTGAGGACAAACTGCTACTCAGCTTAAATACTGCCAGAAATAAAAGCCAGTGCTGATTCCTTGAAAGATAGAGTTAAACACAGTATAAGTGCAATACAATCCATTTCAATAAGTATTAAGATTAGTGCTCACTTAAGTGCTGTAAAAGAGATGGTCCTCAGTCTGCATTTGAAAGACAGTGGTAGTTCGTTTCACCACCTGGACTCCAGGACAGAGAAAAGTCCTGATACCTGTCTTCACGCGTCCTGAAGGATGGCGGGTCAAGCTGGACTTGCAGCTCGAGGGGCTCGAGGAACAGATCGAGTTTTGACCATTAGGTGGGGAGGAGCTGGTCCGGTTTTTTGCTTTAGGGTTTAAATCTAATGCAGCTGAACTTATGAGTGATAAGTGATGAGTGGAAGTTAACTGCAGTATGAAAAAAAAGTGGAAATACAAGGTTTCTGTGCGACAGTGATGATATGATGTGTTTTGCTGGTATGCAGGTCAACCATTACGTCTATGCTGGGTGACCAGCTAGACTGATCAGCGTAAACCAGCTGTTTTTTTCAGCAGGATAAACCTGTTTACTGAGATCATCACCGGATTTAAATAACACTCTAACTCTGACCTCAGATCAAGGTCTGAAGGTTTTAGTGAGAATGTTCAGTTGATCAGTTTGAGCTGCAGCAGATTCACTGCAGTGTATTTTCTCTGTAAGTGTTTGGCGTCTGTGTGTGTTCGGTTCTCTCTCTCTATAGCGGAGCTGAGTGGAGCTGGCGGTCAGTGGTCGGGTTGTTGGTGTTGGCGTGTGTGCTGGAGGTCAGTGTGTGTCAACACTGGTCGTACGGTTGGCTGCCCGGAGGAAAGAGGAGCGTTGGAGAACTGGAGGCAACTTTCCGAGTGAGTAAATCTCTCTCCTGTAATTACTCATATAAAGAATTCCATCACTAGTAAGTTCTCTCAAAGTGTGATGGAAAAGCGGTTTTATTTCAGTCCGTTTTACACTCGAATGGTGATGTTCTGCTTTTATTGTTCTTAACTGACCAGCGCAACAGTACTGCTCTGTCACAGGGTGGCGCTGTAGCAAATTGGTTTTTTGGAATGTTCGCACTCTGAACCGCTTTAGTTCCTCACCAAAATATAAAAAAGCAAAGCAAATGGAAAACGTGAGCAGCAGCATCTGAACTGTTAATTTAGATTATGTAATAACAAAGAGAGACTTAAGTGTTCAGCCCACAGTGGAAACCAGGGCCCCCCTGTTACAAGGGGGTATTTCACACACTGATCTCATCACTTTAGTTCTCTGTTACTCTGTAATAAAGGCTCTGATTAGCCTCTGTGTGCAGTAATGATTATCAGACTGAACTGCAGTGTGACTGTTTCAGATGATGGATGCTGGCGATGCTGTTGTGGCTTTGCCCTTGGACTCTCCACTGGAGCAGATAACTCCACTGCAAACTGTGAGTGTTCACTCTCTCACAGACACACACACACACACACACACACACACACACATATTGCTTCACGTATTGCTGCTGTCGGAACAAACCTTGCATCTCCAAAAAAGGAACTTCACAGGACACACACAAAAAAAACATTTGTCACTTTTAATGGAAGTAAATGGAGGAATATTTTTTTCCCAAGTAATTTTGGATCATTTCTGTTGGTCTGTTCATCATGAAATTTTAATCCAACATAAAGGGCAACTGTCTATTTCAAATTATGTCAAAAATTGAAAAACAACAAAAGTGGATATTTGAGGTTTTGTCCCAACAGCAATGCTAATTATGTATAAAAATGTATAATATGTGTAATAGATAGGGATGGCGAGATTGGCCGCAGGCTGGGACAGGCAGCAGCAGTAAATCGGTCACTGTACCGGACCGTATTGGTGAAGAGGAGCTGAGCCATAAGGCAAAGCTCTCTGTTTACCAGTCGCTGTACATCCCCACCCTCACCTATGGTCATGAGCTGTGGGTAATAAACCTAAAGAATGAGATCACAGATACGAGCGCTGGACATGAGCTTTTTTCACATGGTGGCGGCTACATTCTACTGACAGGGTGGGGAGCTCAGACATCTGGGAGGAGCTCAGAGTAGAGCCGCTACTCCTCCACACTGAGAGGAGCCAATTGAGATGGTCCGGGCATCTGATCAGGATGACCCCTGGACGCCTCCCAATGGAGGTTTACCAGGCTTGGCTGACGAGGATGAGACCTTGAGGTCGATTAATACTAATGGCCTACAGCATGAAAGTAAATTACTGATTTACTGCTGAACAAATTAAACCTTAAAAACTCTTTCTGTGTGTGTGTGTGTGTGTGTGTGTGTGTGTGTGTGTGTTCATGCAGATGAATGAGGAAGACTCTGAAGCTCTTAAGAGGAAAAGAATTTCCTTCAGAAGACGAGGAAGAGCAGAATAAACTCACACTCAGTCTCTCTCAGTGCTGAATCTGAATTAAACTCTTTTATTCCCCCATCAGTTCTGCTGTTCTTCATTTTTTCAAAAGCTTTTTTCAATAACAGGGTCAGTAACACAGCGGTGAGTCCTGAGAGTTTGAGTTTCCGATGCTACAGATTCTCACTTCACAGTATGAACAGTATAAAGATATTTAACAGTTTTTCACTCTTTCAGGTGTGAATAAAGTCACTGAGTGACAGTTCGTAAGACTATAAAATAGAAGAGTATTTAGATGTTCGGATCGATATTCTTAAAATGAACACTGTCATTTGCTGACATAGAAGCTATAAAACTAGAGTTATTAGCTATGTAAGTTATGTAAGTTAGTAGTTACAGAACACGATGGTTTTGCTCTTATTTCTGCATCCTCAAGAGAAGATGTACACTTTTCTAAAAACAATTATGTAAGTTAAAGTCTATTTTATGCTCATTTACACGTAAATAGCTCAATCAGTCTTCATTCACTCCAAACAAACAGCCGAAACAGAATCAGTAGACAATCAAACATCCTTCTCAAACAGAACACTTTTGATTTAACCCATTTTTAATCACACGGCTGTAATTTCCATGTTTTCCACACAGTGGCACTCTTCAGCTCCCAAATTAATCTCACTCCTTCTGAGTTAAACTACCCACACTGTAAACATAATATCTCAGTGACTAAATCTCTGAAATCCTGTCAGTATATCCATCATTAGAAGATTACTGTTAGAACCTTATTCAGCCTATTTAGATACATGTTTACTTACATCATTTTATTCAGCAACATTGTTAATTTTTTTCAAGCTGATCATTTAACTTGTTTTAAGAAGTCAAACCAAGTAGAAACAAATATTCTTATAGTAATCTCATACTGAGAAAATATTACATTCATGGGTGAGACTGAAGATGATATAATTTTGTTTCAGTAAACACAATATTGCAGAAAATCTGGTCGCTAGATTTTGATATAAATTTTAGAATTTGATTTTAGAACTGTTTTATTACTGTTTGTTTTGTCCGCAGCTTCTTTTTCTCATCTTTTGAACGTGATAAAATAGCGCTAATGATCAAGGGTAAAAACAGAATCCTGCTTTATCGTCTTTCTTCCTCACAGCAGACGTGCTGAGAGAACCAAGATAAAAAGACGCTATTAGAGTTATTTTTCATGTGTTATATTCATAAACTGGTTGGTTGTGTATCTGCTCTTCACTCTGAGTGAATGAAGGTTTCATCTACAGGGGTTTACCAGAACACCACTTAAATTAACAATTCTCTATGATTCACCTTCAGTGCAGGTAAAGAAAATAACTGAGAATTTTTGCTTTTTCCCATTTATAGCACAATTAAATTTCCAACTGATCACCTGCTAAAATAAAACAAAAACAAAGAAACTGAGATAGAAATAAATCTCCTCTCCCAACTATTAACAGACTTTCACTGCAACAAAATACCCAGCAGATGGAGACTTCAATGAGATTTGACATTTTTCTGTAAAGTGTCAGATTAAAGCATCCAAGTGAAAGTTCATCAAAGTGTGCATAAACATTCGCAAATGAAAAATGAGCAGTGAAGCAGTTCATGAGGTAAAACTGATATTTATGACTGTTACTGAAAAACATTTACTCAGCAGCTAAAACTAAAGAACCAACAGATGTAGCTCACAAACAGCAGTGTGTGTGTGTGTTAATGTGTGTTTGTATGAATATGTGACGTCATTTGACAAATTAAATACTGCAAAACTGAATCATTTAAACTGAATTTGTTTCAGTGGTCAGTCTACAGAGGAGAACTTCAGCGAAAATAACAAAAAAAATAACTAACCCGTTAAACTGAGACACGCTTCATCTCTCAGAAACAGCGCTGTGTTCACTGTGTGTAGGAATGAGCTTTTTAGTGGACCCTTTTAATTGAAGGGGCGGGGCTACGATGCGACAATCCAATCAGAGCCCTTCGTGAAAGTGACGTTTCCGCTTTCGTCTCTGCTGATTGGCCGGGTTTCGTCACTGCACGTGGAAGACGGAAGAGAGTTCAGTCTAAACTGCGCGCGCGTCCGTCTGCGTGTTGAACGGAACGATGAGAACCGACATGATCAAAAACAGGTCAGAACACACACACACACTCTAACACACTCTCACTCACACTCTAACACACACACACACACACTCTCACTCACACTCTAACACACACACACTCTAACACTCTCACTCACACTCTAACACACATTCTTGCTGCGCAGTTTGTTTTTCAGTAACAGACTTACTATTAATGAAAACAATAGAGCAGTTAAGACTCTATACCGTCTCGTCAGGTTGTGTCAGGTGTGCTGGGAGCAGGAGAAGCTCTGAAATGTGCAGGTCAGTGTGACTCCAGGACCAGCACTGAGAACCACAGGTTAAAGTGTGAGACTGAAAAAAAAAGACCTCGTAGCTAAGAAGTCACTGGGTACCAGCGTAGACTGGTGAATATGTACGTCTGGAGGGGATTTTGAAGGCCTTATATGTGTTAGTCCACACAGCGGACTGAAGGATGGTCTGTGTAACTGAGGCCTTCCTACAAAATAACATAAATGAACAATTAAACCTTTTTTTGAATTATGAGTTATTTTGTTTTCTGTTTTTACCTCAACCTAAACTATGCTTTACATATGTTTTATTGAGCACCTGATTTTAAATACAGGACATCAAACAATGCCAAACTATGCTTTTATGATTTTTACAAAAATGTCTCCTATATTGTTTTCCATTGTGAGAGCTAAATGATCCAGATGCACTTTTACTCAGGAGAAATATCCAGATGTGTTTCTCCAACAGAAGCTCCATAATGGACAATAAACAAAAAAATAATGTGGATGAACTATATAATCACATTAATCTATGAAACACAGTATTTATTTGAGAACTAAGCAGATCAGCGTTTAATTGTAGGCAACATTTATAAATAGGTTAAAAAGCTGTCCAAATCAGCTCCTCGTACCTGCGTCTGTTTATACCTGTATCTACTTATAATAATCAATACTGTATTACAGTTGTCAGTTGCAATTATTATGACGATATATTTCATCCACACAGGCAGTTTCCATTACTGAGCTCCTTTTAGCTGTAGTTAGCAGGAGTAGCAGATCTGCAGAGGATGTTTCGTCTGGAAAAAATGGTTCCCCATAAAAACTGTTTACAATAGCAGACTGACAACAGAGATAGATATATAGATAGATAGATAGATAGATAGATTTAGATTAATTGATTGATTGATTGATTTTTATTGATCCCGAAGGGAAATTGCAGTGTTTCAGTAGCAAGACATATAATTGCACATATACTTACATATACCATGCAGAAAAATAGAAATAATATAATATGTTTGTATTAATCAAGAAAGCAACGTTTGTTACAAACGTAGTCAGTCTTAATGAGAGCAATCAGAAGATATCATGCTTATTTAGTTAATTAATTATTTATTTATTTAGAATAGTGCCCACACACACACATACACATTATTTAAGCCAATTATCTTCTGGGTTACAGGGGGGAGTGGAGCCTATCCTGACATAAACATAGCATAATTGAGATTTCCTGAAAAATAAATTATTTTTAATCTGAGTAAACAATGAGTAGTTCTACTGATAAATACTTTTTATACTGTTCAGTGTTGATTGGGTGCCAAAAGGCCAAACAGTGTTTTTCTGGTTGCTATGGTGTCCAAGGTGATTGCTAAGGTGTTGCTAGGCTGCTGTTGTGGTATCCCAGGTGTTTGCTAAGGTGTTGCTAGGCTGTTGCTGTGGTATGCCAGGTGGTTGCTAAACATTAGCTAGGCATTTGCTATGGTGTCCAGGGTGGTTGCAAAGGTGTTGCTAGGCTGTTGCTGTGGTATCCAAGGTGGTTGCTAAGGTGTTGCTAGGCTGTTGCTATGGTATCCCAGGTGGTTGCTAAGCATTAGCTAAGCGGCTGCTATGGTGTTGAAGGTAGTTGCTAAGGTTCGCTTTAATTTCAGTGATGCTTGCTGTTCGTTTCTGCCTAGCGAGTGCAGAATCTGATCTGTGAAGGAAACGGGAGTCTGAGAGGGAACTGAATCGGCCACAGTGCCAGACTGTGACTTGTGGGAGAGCGGTCAGAAAGCAGCTTTAGGTTTGGTATTTTGTATTGAGGATTTTGGTGTCTGTGTTGCTGTGTTGAAAACATGGAGACCTGCTGTGGAGACATTTGTGCACAGTTTTTCAAGGAAATTATAATTTTGTAAGTTGAAACTTACAAAAAATGAAAATGTACAGGGATTTTTGAAAATGTATTTATAAAATAATTTGGAGAAAAAAGTTCTGTAGACTCAGAAAATCTGTAAGACCTGCAAATGTGAAACTGTGTGTGTGTGTGTTAGTACTGCGTGTGTGCTGCAGTCTGTTTCTCTGCAGTCACCGGTGGGAGAGCTTCTGCTGAGCGGCTGCGAGAAAGGAGTTCACACCATCACCATCACCATGGAAACGGCACACAGGTACTACACACCATCACCATCACCATGGAAACAGCACACAGGTACTATACACCATCACCATGGAAACAGCACACAGGTGGTACACACCATCATCCTCATCATGGATACAGCACACATGTACTACACACCATCACCATCACCATGGATACAGCACACAGGTACTACACACCATAACCATGGAAACATTTATAACACAAGCTTTTACATGCCGCAGTGTGTTGTTACTGACAGTGATGAAAACATGATTGTAACATGAATCATACACTAAAGTGATCACTTTTGTGTTTGTGTGTGTGTGTGTGTGTGTGTGTGTGTGTTTGTGTGTGTGTGTGTAGTGCAGTACGCTGTGCTGATGTTGAGCTGAACGCAGAGCTGCAGCGGTGTGTTTTGTGGTTGCAGAGTTACTTCAGTTCTGCCCACTCTGTGACATCACTCACCCCTCCAGCCATACACCACCCTCTGCTACACACAGGTAACACACACACACACACACACACACACACTCACACACACTCTACTACACACTGGTAACACACCCACACACGCCCTCTACTACACACTGGTAACACACACGCACACACACCACTCTCTGCTACACACAGGTAACACACCCACACACACATACACTCTACTACACACTGGTAACACACACACTGGTAACACACACACACACACACACACTACTACACACTGGTAACACACACACACCACCACCACCCTCTAGTACACACTGGTAACACACACACACACACCCTCTACAACACACAGGTAACACACACCACCTTCTACAACACACAGGTAACACACACCACCCTCTACTACACACAGGTAACACACATCACCTTCTACTACACACAGGTAACACACACCACCCTCTGTGTATATCTGTGTGTGTGTGTGTGTGTGTGTGTGTGTGTGTGTCAGACTCCTTCAGTGCGCGGGTGTTGCGGACACTGCAGGATCGCGTCTCTGTGGGTCAGACTGTGTCCTACAGGCAGCTGGCAGAAATGGCAGGAAATAAGCGGGCAGTGAGAGCGGTGGGCGGAGCCATGAGGAGGAATCCGGTTGGTTGGATTAGAATGACTTAACAGTTTTGTGAAAAATAAAATTTACACTGTCATTTACCTTCACATGAAATTATCACACTCTCTCTGACTCTCTCTCTCTTTCTCTGGGGGGTCAGTAGGGTGGGGGAATAGGGTGGAGGTCGGTAGGGTCGAGGTATGGCGAATGGGGGTCAGTAGGGTCGGAGTATGGTGGGTGGGGGTCGGTAGGGTCGGGGTATGGCGGGTAGAGGTCAGCAGGGTGGGGTATGGGGTGGAGGTCAGTAAGGTGGGAGTATGGAGGGTGGAGGTCAGTAGGGATATGGAGGGTGGAGGTCAACAGGGTGGGGGTATGCGGTGGAGGTCAGGAGGGTAGGGGTAAGGGGTTGGGGGTCAGTAGGGCGGGGGTATGGGATGGAGGTCGATTGGGTGGGAGTGGAGGGTGGGGGTATGGCAGGTGGGGGTTGGTAGGGTTGGGGTATCGTGGATGGGGGTCGGTATGGCAGGTGGGGTGGTAGGGTCGGGATATGGTGCGTGGAGGTCAGAAGGGTGGGGGTATGGGGTTGGGGGTCAGTAGGGTGGGGGTATGGGGTTGGGGGTATGGGATGGAGGTCGGTAGGGTGGGACTGTGGGGTGGGAGTATGATGGGGATATGGAATGGAGGTTGGAAGGGTGGGGGTATGATGGGTGGGGGTCGGTAGGGGTGGAGTATGACAGATAGGGACCGGCACGGCAGGTGGGGCGGTAGCGTTGGGATATGGTGAGTGGGGGTATGGAGGGTGGAGGTCAACAGGGTGGGGGTATGCTTTGGAGGACATGGGGGTGGGGGTCAGGAGGGTGGGGGTGTGGGGTGGAGGACAGTACGGTAGGGGTATGGAGGGTGGGGGCAAGGGGTTGGGGTCAGTATGGTGGGGGTATGGGGTGGAGGTCAGTAGGGTGAGGGTATAGGGGTTGAGGTCAGTAGGGTGGGGGTATGGGGGTTGTTACCTACTGTCTCCCAGATGGTGACATAGTTAGCGGTGAGGGGGGAGGCTGAGGACCCCTCTTCAAGCATTATTCCTAATTTTTCAATTTGTGTATATTTGTAGAATTTGGAATGAATTGGTGATTGATGCAAATTGATGAATTTGTGTAAATTTCTCATGTTCGCCTAAATTTTTCACAGTGAAGAAGAAAGTGCGTCTTTGTCTTGACCTCACCTGTTACAGTAAAACGTCTGAAAATCAGGAATCAGAGATATTGATCACGTAACTGAAGAAGTGCTGTGTTACATTTTTCTCTGATTTTATGGCAGTTCTGAATTGTCCTGCTAAATCTATTGTTTCTACATAAATTATCTCTGAGTAAAGTCTTCATTTTTTCAGAATCGGTCAGTGTGGTGAAAGTAGGAATTTTGTTAGTAATTTTTTGGCAGAGAATGAAGTGCTTCAGTTCCTGTCTCTTCAGTTTGTGGTCACTCAGTCTGGACTTTGTTAGGATTTGCCTTGCTTTGTTATCTTTGATTCTGGTTAGAAAATTGCTAATGTGTATTTCTAATTAAGCATTTCATAACGTTTCATAACTTAACGCTCCAGCACCCCACCGCGACCCAGTAGGATAAGCGGTTTAGATGACGTATGTATGTATGTATAACGTTTCAATTTGTTTTGGTGTGTAATTAGGTTTTTCCAGTAGAGGCTCTGATCTGTTTTATCTTCAGTCTCTCTCAGTGTGAAGCCCTGAGCTGTTGAGTTCCCCTCTAAGTTCTTCTTATTGGCCCGCTGGCTTTATTGTACATTTGATCTCCATCACCACTGTGTTTACATTTGTAGAATAATCCTTTGTGCTCTCTCTCTCTCTCTCTCTCTCTCTCTGTATCAGGTTCCTCTCGTCATTCCATGTCATCGTGTGCTGTGCAGCTCTGGGGCGATCGGTGGGTTTATGGGAGGAAAAGGAACTGAGATAAAGCGCTGGCTGCTGCAGCACGAGAATCCAGACCATGTTAAAACACCTTAAAACGGGTCAAATCCAGATTATAGTTAAGTGAGGAATGTTTCACTGGATGGAAAGAGAGACGGAAGTTTGAGTGTGTTGTGTGTTTAGTGTTAGTTGGGTCATTCTGAGTGTTTGTGTGCAAGTGTCTAGGTGTTTGTGTGTGTGATAGCTTGAGTGTTAGCAGGTATGTTTTTGTTTATAAGAGGAGTATTTAATTAAAAGTATAATTCATTAACATTTATTAATAAATGTTTAACACTATGCATTTAACAACATTTATCTGTTTCACCAAATAAACACCTAATACAGACTCTTACACACTAACACACACACATTAAGCTTTCTGTCTGTGTTGCAGGTGAAGCTGTAATCCAGAAATGCCTGAAAGAATGAATATTTGATCATCTTTAATCTGCCTTGGTTGATGTTCATGTTAATTCACTCGTTCTTATTGAACTGCTGTTGCATGTAAGTTTAATGCTGTTAAAATCCAACAGCAGCCTAAACCTGCTAAAGCCTTCAAACTCCCACACTGGACACAGCCTGCTGATATTGGACACAGTATGCTGGTCAGTGTAGGGGACAGTCTGATGTCTGATGATGTCAGCTCTGATGATGTCAGCTCAGTGTGCAGCAGTGTTAGCGTGTAGCAATGTTCTTTACAAAGGATCAAAAAGAATCTGTTCAGGTTTATATAGTTTTGTTTGGAATTCCTGGAACAGAACAGAACAGAAAAAACACACAGTGCGCATTTGTGAAAATTCCAGTGTAGTGACATCACTGATAAAGACTGATAATCACTGGTAATCACTGTTTAATTGCTCAGAGAGGTTCTGTGATTAATTTTGTTTTTCTGTAATACATTAAAGATATACATTGTTGGATATTCATACAAAAAAAAGTTATGTTATCATTTATACCACTTTATTAGAGAAATAAAAATGGTTTTGTAGACAGTGTGTTCGTACATCAGTTTTTATTATTTTCAAAACTCTGTGGCTATGTTTACATGCAAAGATTTTTGCCAATCCGATTGAATACAATCAGATTACAGATTCAGACTGAGGTGTTTATATGCTCACTCTATTCAACAATTTGATGGAAAATCTTCGTTTACATGCTCACTAAAAGTAATCCGATGCAAAATGACGCGCATGCGTGGAGTAGCGCTTAGAGTAAACGTTACCATGACAGCGAACATGACGTGAGGTCCAGTCCGCGTGAGATGAGTTTCCAATTGGCACGCTTGTGTTATTAATTGCTTTAAAATGATGTCAGACTCAGAAAAACGTGCTTCACGTGTACTTATAAAGGAAGCGGCGAGAGGAAAACGTCGTGTTCTGAGACTCATAAGTTGGACGTCCGTCCCACCGCCGTCTTTTAAAAATCAGAGCATGAACTTCGTCTCCTCTGCAGACCAGTTTCTGCTCCGCCATGTTGAACGTTATAAACTTTCGCCATGACGCGACGCACATGCGCAGAACATACTTACACATTCCGATTGGGATGTAATCGGATTCAGGCGTTTACATGGCTATTATTCTTATATTTAACGGATTATTTGGAGGTTTACCCACCTCGTTCAATCGGATAGAAATTGTATTCCGAATGGCCTCAATCGGACTAGACTATTCCGATTGAGGTGTTTACATGGACGTATTCTAATTCCGATTTAGCTATTAGTCGGATTATTACGGATTATCAGGCTGCATGTAAACGTGGCTTGTATGTCCAAAATTGTTCTTAAGTAGCAGTGTACAGACTCCGTGATCATAATTTAGAAACAAAAAATACTAACCAGTCAGCACTCAGTAGCAGTAATACTAACCAATCAGCGTTCATTAGCAGTAATACCACCAATCAGCACTCAGTAGGAGTAATGCTAACCAATCAGAACTCAGTAGCAGTAATGCTAACCAATCAGCACTCAGTAGCAGTAACGCTAACCAATCAGCACTCAGCAGCAGTAATACTAACCAATCAGCGCTCAGTAGCTTTGCTTTGGCTTTGCCTTTTTTTATGAAATGTATGTGTCAACACTAAAGTCAAAATGCAATGTTTACGTTCTTATTTCTTTTTCATAGCAATAGGCTGCATATCGGACAAAATAAAAATGAAATGCAAAATGGATAAATCAACAGCGAAGTGACAGTTTGTGATTCAGTTTTCGGCGTGGTGGCGCTTTAAGTGTCAGAATGAAAAGGCAAATACAAACGAGCACAGGCGCCACCAGCTAGTGATTTATTTTTCATTTCCCACTTTGTTTTTTCGTTTTCAAGTTGACAGAAAGCCGTTTTAAATTTATTTTTATTGTTGTCACAAATGACCAGTGCTTCTGTAAAAAAATTAATTGCAAATATAGGCATTTCATTTCATTTTAATGCAGTGTTTTTCATTTCATTTTTAGGCAGGATATTTGCGCAGACTTTTTGGAAAAAGAAATGGCAAAAAGAGGTCTGCATTTACATTTTATTGTTTTAATTTTAATTTCTTTTTTGGCTGGATTTGCCTCCCATACATTCAGCCCCATTCACTGAGGACTCGCTCGCAGTCATGTTTCTGATGTAAAACAACGGTTCTGGTAGCGACAGAATGTTTTATCGCGAGAACAGGGCAGTGACACAGCTTTAAGCGTCATATCCGCTTCCTCGCGGTGTTCCGGTGGGATTTTGTGCTGTGAGCGGAGAAACAAACAAACAGACAAACAAACAGAAACAAACAAGCGGATTACCGAGCCGGATTACACCGAAAGAGTGGGGTTCTCAGAGGTGAGAGGAGCAGAGAGAGCTCTGGAGGAACATCTGAGTTTATAATCAGTCTGTAAAAGAGTGGATTAGCAGCGCGGCTAACGGCTATAACAGCTAACAGCTAACCCACACAGCGCGGTTTAAAGTCACGTACGTTCAGACTAGAGCTGATAGACTTCAGCGCAGCCGCTCTGTAACAGTGTAAAATTATGAAGAGAAGGCATTCATGTGTATAAGATTGGTAAACGTGCGAGATTGAAGTCTCTTATTCGAATTTTCCGTTCCACCTTAAATAGTGCATCAGTTACATTCTTGCGTCGCAAGCTGCTGCTTTAACTGCTGCGCCACTTAAGGTGGAACGGAAAATTCTAGTACTCAAGAAGCCTAAAGACGCTTAACAGCTATGTTTGAGAAACCGCATCATCGAATATAAAGGGGGAATCCAGTGATGTTTCAAAATGTCCGCCTAATTAAGCGTTTAAGATGTATATAAGCTAGTCATTCAGAGTGGTTTGGTGTGAAACGCTCCGTTTTAGAGAAACTTACTGAGTCAGAAGTGTTCACATTGGTGGTGATAGGAAACAGACGTCCACCTCTAAAAGTTTTCTCACAGAAAGTTATGACATGAAATGGTTATTTGATATGGTGTGATGGTTTTGCGAACTTAAAATCAATTCATGGTGGAGGGATACATGCAGAGCGCTGTGAGGCAAAATAGTCCCCAAAGAAAACGTATTATTTCAGATTTATCACTGTTAGGGAGCTTTTACCAAACACAGTGCTCCACAGCACCCTTTACTTTTAAGCTTCTGCTCTGTCTTCTTTACTGAGCTCTGAACCACCGAGCATGCGTCCTGCTTAGAAACATTATTTATCTGTGATTTGTCTTATCAATGTATTTGTGATTTATCTTATTTATTTATTATTTATAAATCTATCGTTTTGCCACTTTTATATTGTGCTACTAGTGTTCTTAGTAATATTATTAATTAAGGTTGTGCGTTTTGTCTGATTTTGATATTTTCACAAACAGATATTTTGTTAGGATGGTCTTAACCTAGGGATTTAGGTGAACATATTGGTGTTGCACAAAATTTAGTTTAAAATATGCGGATGATGTGCATCGTAGTTCATCTGAACAGCTCCAGAGCTGCCTGTGATTTCTTTACTTTCAGCGAACAGCACACTTACATTTACTGACTGTGTGTGTGTGTGTGTGTGTGCGCGCACGCAGATGTCGGAGGATTTGGTGAAACAGTTGAACAGTTACAGAGCTCAGCTCCAGCAGGTTGAGGCGGCTCTCTCCACCGACCCCGACAATGAGGACCTGCTCAAACTGCAAAAGGACCTGCAGGTACCCACAATGCACCTCGCTGTACATACTCTACCCACAATGCACTTCGCTGTACATATTCCACCCACAATGCACATCACTGTAAATACTTTGTCCACAATGCACCTCACCAGGTTTGGGATAGCTACTGAAAAAGTGGTAACTAGCTACCTTATAGCTACTTATAGCTAAGTTTTTAACTACTTGTCCAGAACAAGTAGTGGCTACTTTTTAGCTACTTTCAAAGCATGATTGTCAGAATGTTTGCGAATCTCAGCCTGACACACCAAACAAGCCCAACTGATACTGTGAACACTGCATTTAATCATGTGCCAGAAAGAAACATACAATGAAAAAGCTGCAAATATACAAAAAGATCACCAAAAAGTAAGTTTAGGTGTAACCAACAATCAAACTTACACAACCAAAGACGTGATATCCAACAAAAATTTAGACTAAGTAAAGGCAAAGTCAATCATTCCAGGTTTTTCCTAACAAAAATGAACAAAAATAACCGAATACAAACCAAACAACTTTGTGCAAAGCATTGTCAACTGTTGAAATATAACTACTCCAATTTAAACATTTCAGCAAGATACAGACAGACATTCAGAGTCCATTGTTAAACTTCAACACTTTAGCCACAAAATTCTCATCAGTGACTCTGGCTCTGTTTAGGGTGAAAATCAGGCCTGCGCAGCTGAATAATCTCTCCACTGCTGCAGAGCTGCCGCGGCTCATATCCTCCTTTGCTGTACAATCATTATAACACACAGGTCTAACACAGTTTTCACAATAAATTGTCTAACACTGGAGTTAACGCATAACTGCTAATTCACCAACCTTTAACGCTGAAAACTGACGCGTAGACTGCTGGTCACACAGCAACGCAGATAACGAAATGACAAAGAGAAAGATTTAAGATGAACATCGATAATTTGGAGATGATTGGACTTTTATAAGCACTCAGCTGGTTTCCTGATACGTTTAATCTGCAACAAGTCATGAAGCTGTCGTCGCTTCTCATTCTCCTGCTTCTCGTTCAAATTGTCCTGTTCCACTGTAAATGGCACAGCAGTACATTTAAGGTGGAATGGGACAATTCGAACAAGAAGCGACTTCAGCCTCGTAAAAAGTCGAACGTTGAGAGACGTTTTACAAGAAACTTGCGGAAAGGTTTCTTGAGATATGACAGAAGTGGCTATAGCTGAGCTAAAGTTTAAAGCAGAGCAAGGTAAATCTGCATTTTCTTTTATACTATATTTTTAGCCAATTCTAGTACATTAGCACACACTGAGATATATGTACAGGCAAGATAGTAAAATGTACGTATAATATAGTGGCTCCCCATGTGGTTTTATTTTTGTTGAAAGGACAAAATGGCTCTTTTTAACATTTTGGTTGCGACCCCTGAGCTAAGCCTACTGTCCGTGGCTCAGTCAGGATTGCACAATCACCACCAGCCCAGTTAACGGCCGCTTTCTGTGGTACAAATTTTGAGAGGATTGCCTGAAGCCTGTAGCGAAATTGTAGTGAAAATTATCGCTATAGCTACACAAAAATCTGTAGGTGCTACAGCTATTAGCTACATTTCATAAAACTAGCAGCTGCAGCTATTAGCTACAAAAAAGCAGTTAGCTACAAAAAGTAGCACGCTACTTAGCTTCTCCCCCCATCTCTGCACCTCACTGTACATACTCTACCCACAATGCACCTCGCTGTACATACTCTACCCATAATGCACCTCACTATACATACTGTACTCACAGTGCACTGCATACAGTGTTGGAGGAGACTAAAGATCTGTTTGTTTGTGTGTTTGTTGTTTAGGAGGTGATCGAGCTCACTAAAGACCTGTTGACATCTCAGCCAGCGGAGGGCGTCGCTGATGCTAACAGCTCCGATGCAGCTCCACCTAAAAGCAGCTGGAATGTTGGAGATCGCTGTATGGCCATGTGGAGCCAGGATGGACAGTAAGTAGCACACAAACACTTGTAATCAATATGGCTTTGTGAGAAAGTGCAGCAGAGCTGCACACACTGCATCGACTCATCCATACTGTTGAGGTTTATAATATTAAGCTTTAGGAGCTGTACTGCATCTTTAACAGGTCATTAATATGGATGTATGAGATTTTGGAATTATGGTTACATCAGTTAATTCCTACAACAATGAAAGTTGATATGATCCAGTCAAATAGTGTAATGTTAATTATTGGAAATAGCAACAGTAACCTGCCATTAAATGAGCGAAAATCTGAAAACAAAATTGAAGTTGGTCAAGCAGTTTGGCTACAGCGTGTGATTTTCTAATGGTTCTTTTTTCAGTCTTTTTGTCTAATAAGGTTATTTTTTTTTATTTGTACATATTATAGTAAACTATTAATGACCCTTTTGGACCAATGATTAAAGAAAGTACAATAAGAAAATGGCTCTCACACAGAAGCTTTGTAAAGCGAGAGTAAAGAAATGGTTCCGTCTGATGTTCTGCAAGTCTTTGGGCGTGAAGGGGTTAAACGTACAGTGGCGCTGCTCTATGGGGCTCTTACTGCACTGTCGGTTGTGTGTGTGTGTGTTCTGTACTCACCTGCTTACAGCTGTGTGTGTGTGTGTTTAGGCCGTATGAGGCAGAGATTGAGGAGATTGACGGAGAAAACGGAACGGCTGCTGTGACGTTTCTCGGATACGGAAACGCTGAGGTGGTTCCTCTGCACACGCTCCGGCCAGCCGAACAGGGCAAGACCAGCAAAGAGGAAGCAGCCAAACCCAAGTCAAAGTGAGTCTGTGTGTGTGTATGTGTTTGTGTGTTCAGTGTTACCAAAGGAATGCAGTGGAGCTGGAGACAGGAACTCAAACTAACCAGATCAGTATCATCCGCCACCAAAACGTACGATATGTGAATCATCAGTAGATTAACTGTTCGTTTATAACTTGGGGACACAAGTGAGGCTGTGCTAGCATAAATGCTATTAACGTTATCATTAGCTACCTCATTAATTGATACCAAAGGGGAATTTCACAAATTTTCCAAAATTTCCCCATAACTAAATGGTTAAGATGTAAACAGAATCTTTCAGAGTGGTTTGGTGTGAAACGTTCTAGAGAAACTTACCAAGTCAGAATTGTTCACAGTGGTGGTGATGGGAACCAGACGTACACCTCTACCATTTCACACCAAACCACTCTGAATGACTTTATACCTTAATCATTGAAATAAAGATTTTAAGACATTAGTGGAACTTTTTTTTTTTGTAAATTCTTTACATTCTGATCATTTCAAAATCATCAATTAATACGTGTACTTTTATTATTGATCAGTATTTCATTGCAGTGTGTTTTAGACGGTCTGCAGTGCCGAATGAGCTGCTTAGGGTCAACACACCCTTCATACTCGGCCGGATGGTGTAATGTGTGTGTGTGTGTGTGTGTGTGTGTGTGTGTGTGTGTGTGTGTGTAGGAAGAAGCTGCTGGCGGAGCAGAGAGAGTACAAGAAGAAGAAAGCTCAGAAGAAAGTTCAGCGTCTGAAGGAGTTGGAGCAGGAGAGAGAAGACCAGAAATCTAAATGGCAGCAATTCAACAATAAAGCTTACTCCAAAAACAAAAAAGGACAGGTGAGAGTTCACCCTCAAACCTACATCCACAGACAGGAGAAAGCAGCCATGTTTGAGCGAGATTAAATGTACTTGCAGTTTTCGGTTAGCTGCTTCTTTTGCAGCAGCTGCTCTGTGACTTTATATCTGTCTGTTTTTCTCCCACCTCACTGAGAAAACAGCACACCGAATAACATTGTTTTTCCACCAAGCTCTGTGCCTCTCTGAACGTTTCAGTCTCTTCTGGATTCACATCTCTGTGTCTTTCAGTCAGATGTCACCTCGCTTTGAAAAAGAAGTTTTGGCTGCTGATATTTACTGTATTTGGTCTCCTAGCGCATATCAGAGCCCCTCTCCCTGATATTAAACACTTTCTGAATCACAGCCAGAAAAAAGGATGCTTCTGGATAATCACTCCACTGTTTATTTGATCTGGACAATAAAACTTGGCTGGCTGGAAGAGAGAGCAGCATCAGGAGGAGAGTGAGAGTAAAACCAGTGAGAAAAGTGAGATCCTATAGGCTCAGTAAATGGGGGATTATAATGACCGCTGCAGTCTAATTGTATGACCTTGTCAAGCTGGAACGGTTGTATCAAGATCTAATGTTCTGCTGTGATAAAATACCTCATTAGAAAGTCGCTCATCGTGCTTTACAGACGCTCCCCTGATAAATGAATCCAACTCGAATAGGGCTAATTACAGTTAAGAGAAGGTGGGGTGTGAGAGAGTATAATCTTTGACGGAGGTGAGGTTTACCTAGATCCATATTACAGAAACTTCTAAAGTCTGAAATCTTAATCTTATCATTAACTCCAGATAAGAAAACAGTATTACACAAACATCCTAACTAGACTAAATATCCTAAGTACTGTCCTAACTTTAGGATAAACCCCAACAGGGTCCTAACTTCTGTTTAAGCAACCATTTCCGTAAACTGAATTAGCCCACTTTGCTAGCCTAATGCTACTCTTTATGCCAGTTAGCTGCATGTTGTTATTGTTAAGAAGTGTGGCGCCTGTTGCATAATGCTGACATAAACTTCCGCACAATGATGTTTGGATCTGGGCAACTTGGGGTAGTTTTGGGGAAACTGCAGAGGTTTTTCATCCCATATGAATCAGCCAGTCAAATCATGTGCAGATTACAGATAACATTTAGCTCCTCTGATAAAACTAATCCAGCTCCAGTAGGGCTTTAGCTAAAGCTCACTGTCAAATGTCTCTCTTTTCCACTCCAGTTAAACTTTACTCTGAACACACAGCGTAGCCTGAGCTGAAGGAGTCTGATGCCGAGACTGCTTTAGTCTGTGGTTCAGGGATGGTTTGTCAAAGAGAAACTGATTAATCAAGTAGAATCAGCTCCTGCTCGTTTGAAGACCTGCAGCCACATCGATCCACTGCTAGAGCGGTAGGGCTGCGCAAGAAATGTTTTCCAGCAGTCATGAAACTTATGTGCCTTTGATGTGACTTGCGTCACAGCGTCACGTGGAGCATCCGCGACAGGCAACGCGAAACCGCAGAAAGTATGCGAGCTTATAAGCTCGCGAAGGCACTTTCGGCTTTGCACAACCCTCGAGAATTTCTTTCTTAAGAAGTATCACGATATCTTAACAGTGTTCCCAGGCGTTGTTTCACTCATTGCTCCCATTCCACTGGGTGTTTGTGTCGTGAGTGCTGGAATAGATTCGTCATACTGCTACAAGTGGTTTCAGCTGTCTTTCGACACAACTTACACTTTACATGAATTTGTTCAACATCTGACTTTTCAAATCCGCACCAGTTCCACACCACTGAATTGATGTTTCCATTTTTCTTTGTTACGAGCTCACTCCTCTGCGAAGCGCCGCCGCCTCCATCTTGGAGTGTTTGTGTGTATTTTTTCTACCGCGCGTGGCTGAAGTCACCGCACAGACCTGTGAGAGGCGGCATTTTTTAATTTAAGATGCGTTTTTCGTACGTTTTTGTTGGTATTTTAATTAAAGTACAAGCAATGTAAACATGTACAAACTCGATTGTCACATTTCTAACATCGTGTGAAAACGTTAAATCGAATTAACCGAATTAATCGTGAAAATTGCCCAGCACTATAGAGCGGTACAGTAGACTCATTAAATCTCTCTCTTTCTGTGTGTCTCTCTCTCTCTCTCTCTCTCTCTCTCTCTCTCTCTCTCTCTCTCTCTCTCTCTTTAGGTAAAGCGCAGTATATTTGCATCTCCGGAGAGTGTGAACGGTAAAGTCGGAGTGGGGACGTGTGGGATAGCAGATAAGCCGATGACTCAGTACCACGACACCTCCAAATACAACGTCAGGCACCTCATGCCCCAGTGAGCTGTGCGAGAGTGAGAGCGTGTGTGTGTGTGTGTGTGTGTGTTTGTGTATTATGTAAGTTTGGACTGGATGCTGTGCAGATTGAGCAGCAGATCCCCAGATTAGAACGCCTTTTTATTTTGTGTAGTGGAAAGTTGTTTGTTAGAAATGTAAGAAACAGGAAATAGCCAAGATAAACAGGAAATAGCCCAGATAACGATGGGCGGTCATAATTTATGAGTGTTTCACTGCAGCTCTGATGTTTTCCAGACTAAACCTTCAACTCCACTGGAGGACTTGGGGTCAAAATGGTCCCTAAGTAACTAAATTAAGAGGAAAACCGAACCTAAACTAGTCCAAACCCTGAGTCTGACTCTAATCTAGTCTCTGACTCTTAAGCACAGCTACAGAGTAAGTCCAGTGAGGATGTTGTGGAGAGTCTGGTGGTTTGGACACTGGGGGGTTTGGAGTCCAGCAGAGCTGCTGAGAAACGTTTCAGCCACTTTAATGCACAGTGACTTCTTAGTAAATAATCCTCATTTTAAATGTTTGATATGCAATAAATAAATGAAGACAGTTTTGGAGTGAAGTGGCTTTTCTGTGAGAATCAAACATCTCTCTGTTTAGTACCCAGTACTTCAGCAAAATCTGAAGAAAACAAACACTGTGTGCTGATAATTCCATCTCCATACGCGGACCCTCACCAGCATCCACATTCAGATCAGTTTCCCCCTGCAGTGACAGAGAAACTGGTCCTGAATCAGCGCTCACGCCTCATTCTCCTCTGCAGACTTATGTTTTTTTTTTACAGGAGTCTTTACTGTCTTTGCCAAAGACACTCAGTTCCTGTAGATGCGGCTAAGAACATCTGGTGATGTTCTTCAGGGTATTTCATAGAAACGCTTTAAAGGCTGTGGTTAATGGGCCTCATTCATCAAACATTATGAAGAAGAAACTTCTTCTTAAACCCACTTACGCAGTTTTGACGAAGATTTTGACATTCATTAATGTTTTCTTATTTGGGATTTGTTCTTAGGTAAGAACAGAATCTACACACGCTCAAGAGCACAAAGGTGAGAACAGTTCTGCGCTTTAAGAACACGTCATGAATCTGACTTTTTCTTAGGACCTTTCTCAAGAACACACTTAAGAACAAGCTTAGGAAGATATTGGAGAATGAGGCTGTGTGTTTTTATTGCATGTCAGACAGATGATGAATGCGATTATTTGCCAAGATGTCAACGTGCTGTAAAGAAGTGGTTCAACAAAAATGTGTAATTCCTCCAGAATCCGCCCCCACACCCCCAACACACATACACACACTTTACCCCAAAAGTAGTCGAGGTTCTTTAGTTTTACAGTCAACACAAGTGACATTAGCCGTGTAGCTGCAGCGTAAAACCAAACACACCAAACATGTCTTGGCTGATGGACTGAATTTGCATTAAAATTGAGGGGGGGGAGGATTGGTTGGGGGTGGGATGTTAGGCGGGGTAGGAGGTCTGGGAAAATGCGGTTTTTCAGTGAACGCTCGCTTTAAGTCTCTGTTTCTCACCTGTTGAAATAATTTGAAATAATCAGCTGTCTGTCTGTGCTGTATTAATTTTGCTTCACAGTTTTGTACCTTTTCATCATTACAGACAATAAAGTTGATTTTGTTGCTGTTTGTAGAGGATGAGTGTGGAATATTTAAGCAGGATTATAATCTCAGGTGAACGCTAACCTTGCATTCTGAATGATCCTTTAAAAGGAATAATCACAATTACAACAATAATTCACTTCAATGTGCAGCACTTTTTATGAGCTAGTTTTGATGCGGTCGGTTTAGTTGGTAGATTTTTGTTGGGGATACTTAACAGAAATGTATGTTCCAGTCCTAAAATCTGATTGGCTGAGCTGAGTTCAAAGCCACTGTAAAATACTATATATATACACACACACTGATCTCCTCATGGCAACTGAATTGTGTATCACTGTGCCACTTCATGAAAAATCCTTGTGCTGCTAATGAATAATCTTTGACTCTAATGCTGCTCACATGCAGCACTGAGTGTACTGATGGAGTAAGAACCTAGTTCTGTTAAAACTGAGAGGCTGACATTTTCTTATCTAGAACTAGGCTAAAAGATGGACCCCTCAGTCGAGAAGAGCAGTCAGAAGGTGAGGGGCAGAGGCCCGATTGCCCATCATAAACAGTTTAGTTCCTGCCCAAGTACTTTAGTGAATTAAAACACTTATGGTATGATTAACTGTAAAACTGCAGTATAAAAGACTACAGAACATCACTTGAATATCTTGCACGCTTCATATGTTCCTGTTTCAGTCAGAAATTGCACCAAATTCAGACTCTCAGAGTCTCAAACGGTTCCATACTCCCTAAGTAGTGCGCTAGGAAAGTAAAAGAGGAAAGAAATTCTAGCCTCTACAGCCAAGCAGTGACTGTGTTGAGTGTGGATGTGTCTGAGTCACAAATGACTGTTTGTTAGCTATATTTTGCCCTGTTGGACTGCAGGATCCAGTATTCAAACTCCTACGTAGTGCACTATGTAGGGAGCAGGGAGCCGTTTGAGATTCAGGCCAGGTGTGAGAAGAGGGGTGCAGTTTTTGGAGCTAAATAGGACTCACAGTGGTAAATTGGTGACCAAAAAGTGCTTATAGAGTGAGGTTTTCTGCATTTAACTGTGCTGTGTTATCATATGTTTGTTGTTATAAGTTAAAAGTTCTTGAAATGACTACAATACACAGTGATAGGTGACTGAACGCTCTTCTTCTCACTCATCCATCCATGATTGCTTGGCAATGGTACCATACTGTAAAGGAACAACGTTTTTTGTTGATAAATATTAATAATAACCTAAATTTTCTAAAACATTGGGTATTTTAACATTTTATGTTGGCTGCTGTTTTATTGAAGCAGTGAGGCACTAAAGAGCGCATGTTATGGTCGTGCCTAAGAACACCCTTCCCCGTGATAAAACACACGGCCTCTTGTGACTCATTGTGTTATTTTTAGTGTTGTACGTAGTTGATGTGATTGTTTATTGAATGTGTTCTCAGTGACAGACATCACTTTCCTTTAAACTTGTACTGAACAACAAACGAATATTCAAGTGTCACTAATGCAAAACTGAAGATGGTTTCCATGATGGATTGATGGTGTGATGATGGAGGGATGGCTATATTGCTGGACACCACTGAAGGGCATCAGTGCCAAACAGTTTACACACACATACAGAGAACCACAGTGTTTATTACAGTGATGTCCAGTCTTGGTCTCTGTGACAATTCAGCTCTGATTAATATCAATGGGTGCAGAGTTTGATCTGTAGCTAATATTTTACTATTGATGCATTATTAATACAAATAAAACTATTAGAAAAATCTATCAGCTTTCTTATCTCCACTGACCATATAGTTTCACTTTGTGGTTCTACAGTTACAGACTGTGGTCCATCTGTTTCTCTGCATACTTTGTTACCCTGTTCTTCAAAGGTCAGGACCCCCTCAGATTATTTGGGTGGTGGGTCATCCTCAGCACTGCAGTGACACTGATGTGGCGGTGGTGTGTTAGTGTGTGTTGCACTGGTGAGAGTGGATCAGACACAGCAGTGCTGTTGGAGATGTTCTGACTCACTGCACACTGACCACCCTGAACACCCTACACACCCTGTCCACTCTCGCCACCCTGACCAGTCAGAGCAAACTGACCACCGTGGGTACCCTGAACACTAGGGGTGGGAATCTCTAGGCACCTCACGATTCGATTCGATTACGATTCAGAGGGCTGCGATGCGATTATAAAATGATGGGGGGGGTGTCGCTGTGTCAGACAGGGCGTGTCATCTTCCAGACAGGGCGTGTGCAACATAGCGCGAAAGCCCTGTTTCGCAACAACTGAGAATTGGCACGCAGACTGCAGGTCAGAAAAAGAGAAAGACAGACGAACATTTAGAGACGAATGGACTTATTCGCATTTATAAGCAACGTAGTTGGTTTCCTGATATGTTAAATTTGCAACGAGAGACTGTCAAACACTAAAAAGTTGCGAAGATGAAGTCGCTTCTCTTTCTAATTTTCCTGTTACACCTTAAATGCTGCCGCTTTTACCTTCAGCGCCTCAGTCAGAATTTAAGATGGAACGGGAAAGTTCAGCAAGAAGCTGGCGAATGAGAAGCGACTTCAGCCTCGTAAAACAGCCGAAAGGTGAAAGACATTGTACAAGAAACTTACTAAACCTTTGAGGAAAAGTTTTCTGGCGGAGATGGAAGAACAGTGGCTATAGCTGAGCTAAAGCTTAAAGCAGAGCAGAGTAAGCCTGTGTTTTCGTTTATATTGTTTAGTCTATACTAGGACATTAAATTCTTGTGGCTCCCAAGGTGGTTTGATTTTTGCTGAAAGGACAGAATGGCTCTTCTTAAAATTTGGGTTGTGACTCCTGACCTAACCTGGCTTTTAATGCAGAGGGAGCCGGTTGGATTTTTCGCTCATCCCGTTGTGTTTTTGTTATGTGCCACCACAGACTGTCAGGGCACTGCACTTACCCACTTCCAAGTTCCGCCCTTTACGTTCCGTCAACATTACGTTATAAATTAAATATTTAGAAAATCGATTTCTGATGTTGAATGAATCGATTCAGAATCGTCCACGTCCGCATCACGATGCATCTAAGAATCGATTTTTTTCCCGCACCCCTACTGAACACACTGACCACTCTCACCACCCTGAACACTGAGCCTACGGACTACCCTAAACAAACTGACCACTGTGACTGCCTTGAGCACACTGAGCACACTGACTGCCCCGGCTAACTTCACAAACTCACTGTTTTACAGCTAAAAACAAAAGGCTATGGTAGTAATGTTAGCTGCGGTAACAGCATTAGCATTGGTCTGTTTATCTTTTTGTTGTAATTGGCTGCTTTTCTCTGAGTGAAGTTAAAGCTGTGTGATCTGTCTGATCTCTGCGCTCTGCAGTGATAGTGAAGTGCTGAGTGACGCTCCTCCATTACAGTCAGTGGTTTTGGACACTGGTCTTTACACACACACACACACACACACAGAGGCTATACATAAGTAATGGAAGGTTTATGTATTTATTATAGAACACTGAACACACACACACAGAACTGTGTGTTTACAGAGTTAAATGCTCTACTGTGTTTACTGTAAAACAGGCTCCACCCCCCTGCACCCCCCTTACTCCAACACCCCCACTTTCAAACACCATTCATTCGTTTCATATTAAAGTCACTGTACACTCGCCATTTAACACTGCAGTGCAGGTTCTGTCCAGCAGGGGGGGGCATTCAGCTCCTTCAGGACTGGAGATCATAATAAACCACTTTAACTGTTCAATAACTTCTGAGGTTCAAATATTAATAACTGTTCCCACTTCCACACAACTACACCCCCCAACATCCACACCCCTCAATTTTTTGCCCAACCCCACCACAGCCACACCCTCAACACAACCCTCAGTAATGATACATTATCAGCTAAACTAACACACACACAGTCTGTAACAGTTTAAATCTCTAAACAAAGTTCAGAACTGAGACGCTGTATAAATATCAATAATAATCTAATTAATAATGATAGTTATTGATCAGTTGAGTTATATAAACAGTATTTCTGAGTGATTTTCAGCTTTTCAGCTGGATTGCTTTAAAATATTCAGATAAACACTTCCTGCTCATACAGCCCTTTACAAAACTACATTTCCCAGAATCCTTCACTGTCCATCATAAACATCTGGACCTGTTTTCCTCCTTAATTCTTCTCTTTCTGTTTTTCACTTGTTTTCTCTATCTTTTTCTCTTTCTTTACTCTTTTCTCTCTTTCTCCCTTTCCTTTTCCTTTTCTTTATCCTTTTCTTTCTCTTTTTCCTTTTCCCTTTCTTTACTCTTTTCTCTCTCTTTTTCTTTCTCCTTTTCCTTTTCTTTTTCTTTCTCCTTTTCTTTCTCCTTTTCCTTTTCTTTTTCTTTATCCTTTTCTTTCTCTTTTTCCCTTTCTTTACTCTTTTCTCTCTCTTTTTCTTTCTCCTTTTCCTTTTCTTTCTCCTTTTCTTTTTCTTTATCCTTTTCTTTTTCTTTTTCCCTGTCTTTACTCTTTTCTCTCTCTTTATCTTTTCCCTTTTCCTTTGGTTTCTTTTTACTCATTTTCAGGAAGGACGGGGTGCGAAATTTCTTTTTTTTCTTTTTCGGGCTCTTTGATTGGCCATCTGTTGGCTCAGTTTCCGGGATGTTGTCAGCGACGACGGTTGTTATGGAAACCTCCATCTCCTTAGAGATGCTAACTTCAGTGACCTGCAGAGTGACATCATCATCGTCTTGCTCGTTTAGCAGCAGAGCCGACAGAGCGTCTGAGAGAGAGAGAGATTCACCCTTTGATTAATTACTAAATAGAGGCATTAATCAGGAAGTTACTGTCTGTGAGAGTTCCAAGTGATTTAAGATAGAAAGGGAGAGAGGATGGACAGACAGATAGATAAACAGATAGATAGACAGACAGAGAAATAGACAGATGGGTAGTTGACCTCCTCTTTCTGGACTCTTCAGTGGAGAGAATGAGAGGGAGACCGTAGAGCCATACGTCGTTGTCGTCGTTTCTTCAACATCAGTGATGTCATCGGCCTCTGAGGAGTAAACAAACAACACAAACACAAACAACATGATCCAGTTCGACACACACTCTCCTACACATACACAGACACATTAATCTGGAATAATTCAGTTTCGTTCACACTGTCTGTGTGTTTTAACTACAGGAACACTAAACGATTCTCCAAAAGACTCACTGAAGCTGTTAAACCTCTGTACACCAGCAGGGGCAGAAGTGTGCGCCTACCTGATTGGTTGAGTTTATTCTCTATGCTCTGTGTATACTCCTCTAACTCAGTGTCTGATTGGCTGAAGGGATTTGGGGGCAGAGCAGCCGCCTCCTCCTCATCCTCATAGATGAAAGCCTGTAGAGGGAAACACTGTTTCTGCTCTCGTCCTGTTCGTCTGTTCGATTATGGTTAATATATTTGTGCTGAACTGCAGTTGAAGTGTTAAATCAGGATTACTCACAGGTCCAGGGGGCGTGTCTATAACGATATTGGCCAATAGTTGAGACTTCGGCCCTGCGGTCATCAGGTCCACTCGGTTCTGCTCCCGGATCTAAAACAGAATAAAAGTGTCTACACATCACAGATGTGATCAGACTGGTTATCAGATTATTTCTGTTTACTGAACTGCAGACTAAACGCTAATTATAATGGGGTTTGTGTTTATAGCATGTCTTATATCATCAATGAAGGAACAAAACAGTGTATATATGTTTTTGTCGTTTTCATTTTTTGGCATAATTTGAAAGCACCAGCTGCTGTTTATATTGGGTGAACGTTTATTGAAGAATGGACCAATATGCAAAATGATTTTTTACCTTAATTTCCATTTTTTTCTTTTCTGTAAAGTGTATACGTATATATATATTACTGATATATACAAAATCATAAATAATATTTGTTAGGGGTGGGAATCTCCAGGCACCTCACGATTCGATTCGTTTTTTTCAGTACAGGATTTCTTTTTTTCTCACTGTGTGATAACTTGGAACTTCTAAATCAAAGTATTTCTTATGATCCATAATTTACTTCCAATATCTTTTATTAATAAATCAAATGAAAGTGATATGCCAAGTCAACTGGAAGACTCTCATTCACTGCTCTTGTTGGGAGCGCATGAGACGCAGGCTGCCACTCATCTGCGATAAAATGCGCAGCTACAGTGAAATAAGATCCTGTGGCAATGGATCTCCACGCAGCAGATTACAGCTATTCTACCCATTTTCTTCAGTGATTTTATAACTTCAGTTTTGGTCTCGTTGTAGAGAGTGGGGGAGTCACTGTGTCAGTAAAATATGTTCGAGACGGGACACAGTATCTCAGCTCCAAAGTGTGCAACATAGCACGAAAGCCCTGGTTCTCAACGACTAAGTACGAATGCAAATCCTTGGCATTAAAAGTCGCGATAGAGTTTGTAATTCGCTTCGTCCTTTCCGAGTTGGGTGAAAGTTTTGACATCACTTGATCGATGGTCCTCTGGCTGGCAGCAACTACAACCAGGTGGAAAATGGGTGGAAACATGTAATATGCTCCACAGAAGCCAAAGTGCTTCTATACGCTAGCTCAGGGGTCGGCAACCTGCGGCTCTTTTACTTTTTTATATTTTTACCCTACACTAGGACATCAGCACATACTGAGACACGTACAGCCAAGATGGTAAAATGGACTCAAAATGTTGTGGCTCCCAAGGTGGTTTGATTTTTGTTGAAAGGACGAAATGACTTGTTAACATTTGGGTTGTCTACCCCTGCGCTAGCTTTTAATGTAGTGTGCACGCCACAGACTGTCCAGGCACTGCACTTTGCAAAGTTCTGCCTTTTGTTATCAATTAAACTTTAGAAAATCGGTTTCTGACATTTGTGAATCGATTCAGAATCGTCTACGTCCGCATCGCGATGCATCTAAGAATCGATTTTTCCCCCCACCCCTAATATTTATGTATCTATCTATATCTATATGCTGTCTGACAAAAACCTCGTATCTCCAAATCAGTACTTTTACAGCAGCTGGTGCTTTCAAATCATAACAAAAAATGAAAATGACAAAATTGTAGATAGAAGTTTATAAGATACAGATCTGAAAACATGGCGGATGCTGAGTTGAGCTCTAGCTCACATGATCATGCCTTTTTTACTGTCTCAGAAATGAATGATAAAAAGAACAGTTAACAAAACCCAACATAAACATGCTGATGAGTACAGGCTGCAGTATCAGTGTTCAATACAGAGTCATGAACAGTATGTGGTTTCCTCACCTTGTTCCGTTTCTCCAGAACCTCCGCTGGGTCTGTATTTAAAGGAACAAACTGGTTGGGGTCCTCGATTCTGATGGGGGTGCCCTTACAGCTGCCCGTCCACTAAAACATTAATACACAGAAGAACGAGCCATGATGGTGTCACAGAGTAATTAATAATGTTTCCAGGTAGAAATTTGACGATATGCAAGTAAAAGCATTGTGTTCATTGTAAGTGCTGGGTAAGTGGGTGGTGTCCAGTGGAGAACTTTGAAGGAGACGTTTGCATGTCAGATCCTAAAGCAAGTATAACAGTGAGAAAAAACATGACATCACTCTTCATTAGTGACAAAACGCAAAATCTTCATGACTTTGTTACATGTTGCTTGATTGTTTTAAAGAAAAGTGATTGTTTTCAAAGAATTAAATGCTGGATTTGGGTCATACCCAAATGCAATCTGCATTTACATTACATTACATTTACATTATATGTCACTCTGCAGTGCTGTCAGTGCGAAAGTAACTGCTAAGTACATCAGTGTATTTCTTTCTGCAACTAAAGATCTCCTGGATCAGCTGGAAGACCTCACGGTGCAGTCACAGCTCAGCATTGTGAGCGGCTGTAAAAAGGTTTTCTGTGTCTTTCTGAACGTGATGTGACGCTGAGAAATACTGCCAGTTCAGGATGTCAGAATCTGAATCCCTGGGTTATGGTTTCTGGTCCAGACTCCGTCCTGATTATGTCCCATGTGGATGCAATTTGTGAGGAGGTGGACCCACAGTCCTCAGCATGGCCAGTTATTACCTAGGATTGGCTGTGACTCCACAGAGATTTGACCCCGGAATGCCAGACTGTTATTAGGATACTAAACAGGCAGCTCATATCCCACGGTGGCCAATTTGGCCTTTGCTCGAACTCTCAGGCTGTGCCTTATCTGTAGCTGGGTTATCTTGCATTTAAGCGTGAAGTGCACATGGGCATTGTAAAGTTGACGTAGTACTGCAGGGACACAGTGTGGCGTGATGTTGAAGCCTCTGTAGAGGACTTTCCTACTGGAATCCTCTCGCACCTCCAGTTGCCAGGACATTGTAGGGAACATTTGAAGGTGCATGTCTCTGGCAAGCTTCACAGGGCACCAGCTCATTCAAGGTTCCTTCTAAGGTGCTGTGACCATCTTTCAAAATGTTTTGCCTTACTGAACATCCTGGCCACCAAGCACTCTGCCACGGGGTGTCTCCAGCCTCTCTCATAATTGGTAGTGAGTTGAAACTTCACCTTGACTGCTTCCAGCACAAGGTAAATGGAGAATCACCACTTTCTTGCAAGCGTAAATGAAGAAAGAGGTTGAAGCTGGCCTCCTCCTGAGGTCCAGGTGAAGATCAACAAAATAACTGGATGCAGCCCCTCTAAGTGACACTACACCTCAGCCCACTGACTTTTCAGCAACTGAATGGATCTCATTGTCATTATAACCTGCAGGGATTTCTGGCTCTGAAAGACCAGCACCAGAAATTTTGTTATCATGGTCTGGAGATTTGTCATGATGATCTCCCACGCTCTGCATGCATCTGCTATTAGTTACGTCTTTATATCCCTCAATTTTTTTTTGCACCTGTAATAAGTTGTGTGAGTGCGGGTGGCTGGAGAGAGGGGGCCGAATGTGAGTGGGCTCTTTGTATCCTACAATTTGTGCATTCCACATGTTTTTCACTGTTATGGCTGCTTGCTTGACAATCTAACACCAAACCAGTTTTTTTATGTGAACAGTAGATCCAGAGTGTGTGTGTTTATGTATGTGTGTGAGTGTGTGTGTGTGTGTGTGCAAGTGTGTGTGTGTGTGTACCGTGTTGTCCTGTATTTTGGTGTAGCTGTTTGGTGAGTTCAGCCACAGCATCCTCCCCCTGTCCCTCCTCACACCCTGCAGCGCGATGCTGCTCCATGGAAACGTGTCCTGTTCGTCCTGCCCAACCCCGGTAACAGTTGCTGGGATCTCCACATCATTACGGTTTTGAGGTTTCACTTTAACTATGGGATGGCGGTAAGCATAACCTGTACGGTAACCCTGGTAACAAGAACAGCAGCAAGTAAACACCCTATACACACACACACACAAACAGGGCGAAGTCGAAGGTCACTCACCAGGTTGTCCATCATCCTCATTAGAGACTCAAACTCCGCCTCCCCCACTCTCCATCTGATCTCTCCATCCTCCATCTCTCCACCAGCTGAGGGAACCACCTTCACACACTCTCTATCCACCACACACAGGTTCTCCACACCACCCGCACACAGCACAGCACACACCTGCACACAGGGGGAGAGAGAGAGAGAGAGAGAGCATCATTTCTAGCATGAGGAATTTTTTAGGTGATCATTAAAATGGGCGAAACAAGTGACCTTAGTGACTGTAAACATAGTGTGGGTCTCCTGCATGGTCTAAGTATTGGTTCTGTCATTGGGAAAGCGCAGATTCGATCTTTGGTGATGCCACAGCCATCCGTAACCAGGACCCCAAGAGATTATAACTGTCCTCTGTCTCTCTGGGTGGGCAGGATGGTCATCCCTCTCCCCCATTACAATGCCAGCCAACACAGGCATCTGTTAGCTGAAGTAACAGAATTTGCGGTTAGCGCTCTCCTCTTAGTGCGTTGAGCTCCAATGATGTTGTGTTAGTGGCAGTTTGAAAAGATGCAGTGGAGCTTCACATCACTCAGAGGTGACTTGTGTTAACCTTCACAATCCCAGCTGGCTGGACAGAGTGAGAGTTGGCTAATGGTGGAAAATGGACATGATTAAATTGTTGGGCAGGGCTGCAGGCCAGGAAACTTTACTTTGAGGTGGGGAGAGTTTTTTCTGTGTTAGCTGTGGAACTGTGTGTATGTGTGTGTGTGTGTGTACCTGTATTTCGCAGGCTTGCTGACCATGGTATGCGTAATGAAAAGCTTCTTCAATTGTTTCTCCAAACGCCAGCAGACCATGATTCCTCAACACTAACACCTGCAGCACAAACACAACACCATAATCACACAAACTACACACTAACACACTGATACGTTAGTATAATAGACTTTCTAATGGATCCTCTGAGCTCATAGTAGAATTGTAGGTGTGACCATGTTCAGGACAGAAAAAGCTGCAGTAGAGCTGTTGTTGCCGACTCTATGTATCCTGGGTCCTGTGTGTCTTAACGCTCTCATATCCTATATTTTCCTCTCTGAGCTCCACTTATAATGTTTGTGTAGTTTTAATGTACCAGTTATAATTCATTTCTACATGATCATTTTTCAGCCTCTTTTTATCTCTTGCAGTTAAACAGTCTGTTTATGTTACTGTACTTTTAAGACTGATTTATGTAAGTGAGCTCTGTTCTGATTGCCTATGTTGTATTGTGCCTCATTCAAAAAGCAGTCCGGGCTGCTGAATGGGCAGAGCTAAACTGCTGTAGATAAAATGGGTGGAGCTAAACTGCTGTAGGCTGAATGGGTGGAGCTAAACTTCTGTAGGCCGAATGGATGGAGCTAAACTGCTGCAGGCTGAATGGGTGGGGCTAAAGTGCTGAAGGCTGAATGGGTGGAGCTAAACTGCTGTAGGCTGAATGGGCAGGGCTAAACTGATGGTGTCCAGATGATGATGGTACTGTGGAGTGAACAGTAAGTTTAGAAGCTTTAACAATGTTTAAATATGACATTGAACTCTTTTATCTATAAAAAAACTAAATGGGTATTTATTTGTTTATATATTTATAGGTTTCTATTTTTATCTGTATTTAAATATTTCTATTAACTTTTGTTCTTCTCTGTGAAATGTTGTTTTAAACATTTATCTATGTCTAAATTTATTTTGGCCAAATGCACTCCTGATTCTTTGCTGATCTCCAGCGTCGGTCCAGTAAGAATAAACACAGTTACACAGGTCAGTGGAGTAACTGATCATGGTAAATGGTCATGTGGTGTGAAGACTAAGTTAAAAATAAACAGGTACAATTTGAGAATGTATGTAAATAAAACACTTCAGACCAGGAAAGACAGAAACTTAAACGTCCTCATAAACTCGTTTATCAGCTCCTGGATGCTCTACATGTTGGCCTGTTAGAAGTTTGTTGTCATGGTGACCGTTGCTGGACCAAAGTTTACCTTTGCGGTCGGACCCAGGGCCTTCTGAAGCTCCACCATCTCCTGTCCATCATCTAACTCACCATGGTAACTGAAGTAGGATACCTCCCCCAGCAGCAGAGCTTCATGGGAGATTGGTAAAATACCACACTTCATAGAGGAAATCTAAAAAAGGGAAAAATATAGTCGAATGAATAAGATCACTCTAAAAACGCTGCATCACACTGTCCACTCTTACAGCAGCAGGTGCACATGTAGATGTGTGTGTGGCATTTATTTTACAGAAAGAGTGTTTTTTTCAAAAACTACACGATCAGAAATGCTGCTGTTCCTCCGTCGTGGTTTAGGTGGGATTGAAGGTCACAGCCAGTGGCGGATTCAGGCTGTTGGAAGTGCAGCAGTGAAGAAATAAAAAGGGCACCGACTGCACAACATGGGGCCCCATCAACACACAAAAAGCTATGATGCATCATGTGTGATGGAATGTCTGCACATTATATTTGATTATATTTTATGGTTGTTTTTAGTATATTTTATAATGTGTCTTTACTTCTTCTATTTATGCATCTGTATAATAGCATCTATCTATCTATCTATCTATCTATCTATCTATCTATCTATCTATCTATCCAATGCCAGTAAGAAAGCTGTGATTTGGGAAGAGTAGTCTTGCTTAAGTTTATTGAAAAAGCAATTTACACCAAACTTTAAAGTCCTGTGGGAATTTTGTGCAAATTACCCTAAAATAATTCCTTTCAGGAAAGATTTTTACGCTTCTGCTTGATTTCCAAATTGAGTCAACAGGTTAGCGTAGAATCAGCTAAGTAAGCTATCTTTAGTTAGCTCACTCCTTAGCGAGGCATCTAGGCTAAAAACTGTGATACAGTGATCTGTATTAGCACTTGCAGTGAACATACATTAATATTTAGTAAAGCATCATTCTTTAATCATCACAAAACTCAATCTTTAAGACTTCAAAGAAAGCTTGCTGTATTACTTCCCTCGCACACTGCAGTGGGAGGTCAGGGTTACAGCTCAGACTGTACTGAGACCCCATCTGAACATTCTAGAGGGGGTGTGGCTAAAATTGAGGACTTAAATGGATGGAATAGAGGTAAGTTTTTAACAATGTAAATGAGTATGTTTAACTTTATTGCGTCATCGCTGGGCAGCATCATGTTTTCTCCACTAGGGGGCAGTAATTAAAGCATGTTATAATTGTCGTGCTCTTGAGGGCACATCACCACAGTTTATTGTATGAAGGGGCAGCCTAGAGGGCACTCAAACAGTTTTGCCCCTGCAGTCTGCAAGTGGTTACAGTCTTTCTGTGGAGGACTTCTACTACGATTGAAGTCAGTATGAGACGATTAAAGTAACACTGTGTGTGTGTGTGTGTGTGTGTGTGTGTATGTATGTGTGTGTACTCACAGCAGCAGTAGCAGGTGTGTGTGTGTGTATAACACACTTTGCGTCGGGGCGAGCGGAGTAGACAGCGGCATGGAGTTTAAACGCTGTATCATCAACACCCAATCCTGTCGAGCCGTGTTCCACCACCTGACCAATCAGATTCACTTTCATCTACAGACAACAAAACAGCAGACTGAGTGAGGGGCACCTGTTCAATGCTACACACTGCACTGACATCTGTGTGTGTGTTTCGCTGTGTGTGTGTGTATGTGTCTGTGCTTGGTTATGTGTCTGTATGTGTGTGTGTGTGTGTGTGTGTGTGTGTGTGTGTGTGTGCTTGGTTATGTGTCTATGTGTGTGTATGTGTGTGTTTACCAGACTAGCTGCTGTTGCCTCAGAGAATGAGAGACCCTGAGGAAGAATAAGAACATGATCCTGCTCTCTACAAACACGCACCTGAGAGAGAGACAGAGAGACAGAGAGAGACAGAAGGAGAGAGACACAACGATTAAACAAGTAATTTTTGTAAAAGTAGACAAACTACTGAAACATTGATCACTCACTCTGAAAGACTGGATTATGGTCACTCTGGAGGACTATACACTGGTCACTCTGAATGACTGTATAATAGTCATTTTGGAGGACTGTAAGGCTGTTACTGTGGAGGACTTTATGCTGGTCGAGCTGGAGGACTGTATATTGGTCACTCTGGAAGGTCCCATGGCTTTTGAAACAGAGTGACCAGTACACGTTCTGTTCCTAGAAAAAAAATGCAGCAGCTACTGGAGCAGCCACTCATTCATTATGCACATCATGTTCCTTCTCCAAAAACCCTCCAGAAGGGATGAATTCTGCTGAGAGCTCCTCAAACATCACCGTGCGTCCAGAAGCTTTCTGTGTCAAGAATTTCAGCTCTGAAACCTCTGAAGGAGTTTGAATGAATTATCATAATCAAAGTCCACAATGAGCCATGACTCATATACACCACTGTACAGCAGGAAGACTTACTTAATTTTGAAAAGTCCTCCGAATGCCCAGACATTCTCTCAGCCCTGAGTGAATGTGTGTGTGTGTGTGTGTGTACTCACAGTAATATATGCGTTGGTAAACTGTGTGTATCCGTACAGGTCCAGCAGGCGGTACAGGCTGGCCAGTTTGCAGCGACTCTGTCTCTCAGCTTTAGAGACCCACTCCAGCCCACACACATCATTCACCGGGCTAACAGAACCCACACCTACACACACACACACACACACACACACACACACACACATACAAAACACACACACAATGAGGAGCTCTTAACTGCACAGAGCAGGAAGCCTTTCAGTACAGACACTAGGGGTTAGAAATATGACCACATTTTATCATTATCATAATACATCAATGAGCCAAAACATTGATCAGATTGAACATGTTGTTCCAGCACATCTCACAGATGTTCAGTTGGATTGAGATGTCAGGGATTTAGAGGCTGGAGCAACACCATGAAATCGTTGTCATGTTCCTCAAACCGTTCCTGAGCAATGTGTGTAGTGTAGCAGGTCAATTATCTGCTGAAAGAGGCCACTGTCTTCAGGGAACACCATCACCATGAAGAGGAGAACTTGGTCTGCAAAGATGTTTAGGTAGATGGCACGTGTCAAACTGACATCCATATGAATGCCCAGACCAGAACATCACCCAGAGCATCACTCATCTCCACCGATTAGTCTTCCCACAGTACATCCTGGTGCCATTACCTCCCCAGGTAAAGGCCACATATTTACCCAGCCTTGCATGTAATGTAAAAGAAAATGGGTCTTATTGAACCAGGCAACCTTCTTTTATCACTCTAAGGTCCAGTTCTGATGCTGGCATGCCCATTGTAGGAGCTTTCAATGGTGGACAGGGGTCAGCATGGGCACTCTGACTGCTCTGCCACAGTACTGTTACTTGTGCCACAGTAGCTCTTCTGTCAGTGTAGACCAGAAGGAATAACTTTCATTACCCTCATGCATTAATGAGCCCCAGGTGCCCAACACCCTGATTAGGACCTCAGTTGCTCAGGTCTCCAGGCCTGCCTATTTCTCCTCATCCAACACATCGACTACAAGACCTGACTGTCCACTTACTGTCTAATATCTCCTTCCCATGCGCTATTGTTACAGGATAATCAGCGTTATTCACTTTATATCATAATGTTTTGTCTCATCAATATATATAGCACCACAGTATGTTTTTCTGTGCATATCATAAAACATAGCACTACTGGGGCTTTTGTTGTCCACTCCATTATCAAATCAAATCTCAAAAGAATAGAAAACTGTGATGTATTTGTGTATTGTGAAAATGTCTGTCATGTTATATTTTTGCCATGTGGCCCACCCCTGACAGCCACTATACTTTTCAATAAAATAATTAGAAGCACACTTCACACTCAGAACTTGGTTTATTACTGGAATAATTGCTAATGTTCAGGCTTTGTGTTATACATGCAACTCCTTAAACAGGGATTTACCAGGATGATGATAATAATAATAATAGTAATAATGATGTACACCTATGTAGCACTTTTCACAAAGCCAAGGTCTCTTTGCAATGTCAGGGAAAAATGCCCAAAGTCACATTTGTCATGAAAGTCCCGTTAAACAGGATGTCCTCTGCCTTTAACAGCTGAAAGCTCAAAAGCGAAAACTGCAGAAGCCGACACACTACTCAACTCTCATGGTGATGCGCTGGCCTCTGTTTGGGGTTTTGAGCTGTCCTGGTAGTTTGTACTGAGTCTCATGCTGATTAACTACATTTGCACTCACCACCTCATTTATTTAGCATAAAAGTAGTGTGAAATGTGTGAAAGGGTGTTGTTTGCACTCACCGTTGGAGCTGTATGTTGAAGTGTGTGTGAGTGTGTTGTTGATGATAAGGTCAGCGATGTGGTTCAGGGTGAATATCCCACCACCTTTAGCACTCTGCTCCTTCACCAAACACTCCAGCTCATCCTTAAAGTCCTGAAACACACACACACACACACACAGCTATAGCACCAACTGAATCTTAATCTCACAGCAGCATTGAAGAGTTAATTAGAGAGGGAGTGAACAAAGGGGAGGTGTGAAATTATGAGATTATTAGAGTTTGGAGTTGTGGTTTTGATTTGTGAAGTTGTGGACTTGTGAAGGTATAGGGTTGTGAGGTTGTGGAGTTGTGGGGTTGTGGAGTTGTGAAGTTGAGTTGTGAGGTTGTGGTATGAGGCTGAGTTTTGAGGTTGTGGAGTTGTGAGGCTGTGGAGGTGTGAGGCTGGGTTTTGAGGTTGCAGAGTTGTGAGGTTGTGGAGGTGTGAGGTTGCAAGGTTGTAGAGGTTTGAGGTTGTGGAGCTGTGAGGTTGTGGAGTTGTGAGGTTGTGGAGGTTTAGGTCATGGAGTTGTGAGGTTGAGGTGTGAGGTTGTAGAGGTGTAAGGTTGTGAGGTTGTGGAGTTGCAAGGTTGAGATTTGAGGCTGCGAGGTTGTGGAATTGTGAGGTTGCAGAGGTGTAAAGTTGTGAGATTGTGGAGGCATGAGGCTGAGTTTTGAGGTTGTGAGGTTGTGGAATTGTGAGGTAGTGGAAGTGTGAGGTTGCCATGTGCCAGAATGTAAAAGCTGCACCATTTAAAGTGGAACATAAAATTCTAATAAAAAAACAGTTTTAGTTTTGTAGTTCTTGTGCTGATCAGTGCTGGATGTACTAAGAAGTTCCACTGAAGTTCTGAAGGGGCACCTAGGGCTCCAGGAAGACCTCTGAGGTTTCTGTACCTCAGATTTTTATTGGTGTTTGGTTGGTCTTTAGTTGCTGTTTTATTTCTATCTGAATTGTTATGATACTGCAGTAATAGTTACTGCAGGATGGTTTTTGGAGGTAATGTTGGACTGAGCTACCTCCTCCGCTTCTGCTCATCTGGGAAACGGCCAGCACTCTAACTCCTTCTGCACTGTTACCATGGTGATGGTCTCCACTTGTTGGTTGTTATGCAATCGAACACAAGCGTGGGTTTCTTTAACATGCAGAAATGTGGAGAGAGAGAATGTAAAAGCATTCTGACTGTACAGATCATTTTAGCTGTGGAGTTTATGAGTTATTATTGTGTTACTGTAACACAATAACACTAACAGGATTACATTAATACAGTTTTGATGATAAACATATCTTAATTAAGACAGTCTGAGTTTTAGGGGCCACTGTGTATCCATTACACCACCAAGCTGTGCTTGTATGGTCACAAAATGACTTTCAGTAAATCTCTAGCTTATTATAAACTGCCATATGCAGAAATAAAGGAGATTCGTGCTGACTGGAGTAATACCTGATTAATATACTTTATATCTATTTAGTATGATTTGTTTCCTCTATGCCCTGCGTTGGACTGGCACTCACACCTGTTCAAGGTGTTTCCTGCCTTTCGCCCAATGACTGCTGGGATATGCTCCAGCTCCCACAACCCAGAAAGATAAGCTGCTTAGAAAATGTGTTTCCTCTATTATAAAAGTGATAATGTTCATGTTATTAATACAGCAAACATCATGAAGAAATAAAAACTGAGCAAAGGGGTCCACCTCCATCACTAGACTGCCCCTAATTGGTCAGAAGGCTGTCCCTGATTGGTCAGAAGCTCGGCCCTAATTGGTCAGAAGGATGTCCCTCATTGGTCAGAAGGCTGTCCCTGACTGGTCGGAAGGCTGTCCCTCATTGGTCAGAAGACTGTCCCTGATTGGTCAGAAGGCCAGCCCTGAGTGGTCAGAGGGCTGTCCCTGATTGGTCAGAAGGAAGCTTCTGAGGGATCAGAATCTAGGCCCTGATTGATCAGAAGCTCAGCCCTGATTGGTTAGAGGCCCGGCTCTGACTGGTCAGAAGCTTGGCCATGACTGGTCAGAAGCTCAGCCTTGATTGGTCTAAGAGCTGTTTATGATCTATAGTCCTGAATTTAACCGGCCCTGGAGCGGGTTAGTTGAGCAGCATAAGTTGCCATGGTGATGTGTCCCTGTGAAAAGTGATCCACATTAATGAGACAGAAAATCCACGACTAAATCAAACTAAGATTAAAATTGCTGGATAAACAGGAAATCCTGCTTTGTGAGACTGAGAGCTGGAATCAGTAAAAACACTGAACAGTGTAAACAGTCGGTGCAACAGCCTTAAATTTACACCTAGAAACTTCACACTGATTTTACTTCCAAGAGTGTATGTGTGGGTGTGTGTGTGTTACCGGACTCTGCAGTGTGTGTGTGACCCTCTTCCTCTGCTCCACCATGCTGATGTCTTGTCTGAAGTCAGGTGATACGGTGGTGGGGGATTGTGGGTGATGTGGTTTCTCAGAATTGGAGTTGTAGTTGTGTTTGAGCTCCAGGCTGCGGGGGGGTGAAACACGCAAGTCTGCTCTGCTCACACTCATCCTTACACACACACTGATAAACACACACACACACACACACACAGAGTTAGGAAATGCTGTTGGGATTTTTTCTTCCATATATGGTTAAACACACATACACACACAGAGTCTCAGTATTCAGTTCACAGTTCATATCAGTGAAAGCACAAAACCACTATTATTTTCACTCCATACTGACAACAAACCTACAGATCTTTAAACTGATCTGTTTAATTGAAGTGCTTCAGTTAAGATGATGATGATGATGATGTAAAAGTAGTCTGTGACGCTGAAATGACTCAATCACTCTATTAACCCCTCAGAAGGATCGACACAGCTCACATCGTGGCAATTTCTCATCAAATCGACCCAATACTGATCAATACTCATCAGTACTTATCAAAACTGATTTCATCAATATTCATCCATACATGTCAGCTGAACCCATCTGTAGTTACACACACACAAACACACACTCTCTCAGTATAATCAGTGGATTGTTGTGTTTTGTTAGTGTGTTAAACTCACCGCTGCGCTCTCTCTCTCTCCGTCTCTCCGCTGCACACACTCCGCTACAGCCAACACACACTCGCTCAGAGAGCGTCGGATTGGCGCTCGGGGGGGGAGGGGGGACTCTCTGTGTGGGAGAGCAGTGTGTGTATGTGTGTGATTTGTAAGATGGTCATGTGACTGACTGTTTCCGCCCCCAAACACGAGATGATCTTGTAAAACCTGCAGAACCAGAGACTTCATCTCATTAATGAATTATTATTTTCAAATTACATTAATATTTAACACAGAGTTGCTCCACGGATGCCCAGCTCACAGGATTCTTCTCCAAGAACACACTTTTCAGACCCACCAGGATTTTGCAGTGTTTTTTTGAGATCGTTATGGACTAAAATTCTCAATTTTGCAGCTGAAGAATTTTTTTTTCTTAGGGAGTACAGTGTAGAGATTTGTTACGATTATGAGTCTGATATTTAACTTGTTTTAAATGTAAACTAGTTTGTTTCTGAAAAACAAATAGGAAATTTAATGCAATTCTTAGAACCAAGAACATGCAAAGCAACAGAGCAGTTAGTGGACGAGGCTACGCAAAGTTTGCATGATAATCTGCAGGCTTAAGAAATCTAATGTTAAATTCACTAAACTTTATCTGCACTAGGACAGGCAGTACACTCTTAGAAATAAAGGTAGTAAACTGTCACTAGGGCAGTGCCCCTCTTGTCACTGGGGTGGAACCCTCAAGAGTACATCTCAGTACCATTAGTCAGGGAACATAATTGTACAATAATTCATTGATATTATATTTTCTAAATTATATAGACTCCACAGACCCCGTCTCGTCTCCAGGCTTTTATTTTATTGTTCTGTTTTAAAACATTAGGCTATGAAAAGGTACAAATACATACTTTTCACCTGGAAAAACTTATTTAAGGTTCACAGTTGGACCTTAAAACTACAGGTGTGCCTTTGAGGGAACATTTACATTATTTATATTTTTAATGAATGGAAAATGTACCTGCGCAAAACCTTTATTTCTAACAGTGTACTGTTAAGGAATGCAATCATGTGCAAAATTCCATGTTGTTGTTGATTTTCTGAGAGTAAATAAGTTACAGATCCTCTACATAGACTCACTTCTGCACATCTTAATACACAATTACTGTTTATTTACTAAAATTACTATATTGGGAAAAATAAAACATAAACTATGGCCTGTATAGCACACACCATACCTCTGTGTGTGCGTGTGTGTGTGTGTGTGCGTGTACGTAAACAAACCTCAAGTTTTGTAACTCTGCTCTTAAAAGGAGACACACACACACACACACACACACACACACACACATACAGTGTAGCTGTATTAACCACAGAGACGTTTGAACATAATGTAAGTATGTAGTTCACTGTAGGATCTGATTGGCTGTGTTTGTGGTTACTCTACACAAATTTACATATTTCCTCTAAAACTATGTTTATGGTTTTAGGAGACTTGGACTCTGAACAGTTGTTACTTCAGTACACTAGATGGCGCTATGTTTTTTTTTGTATTTGTGTTGAATATTAAAATATATTCTGTATAAAATATTGAACTTTTTTGTTTCATATTAAATTGGAAGCAGATCAGATTTGAGCAATTTACTTTTGGAGAAGTAGAGGAGTGTGTGTTAATGAAGTACAGGAGTGTGTGTTAGGGAAATAGAGGAGTGTGAGTTAGAGAAGTAGAGGAGTGTGTGTTAGAGAAATGGAGGAGTGTGTGTCAGAGAAGTAGAGCAGTGTGTGTTAGAGAAATAGAGGAGTGTGTTAGAGAAATAGAGGAGTGTGTATCAGAGAAGTAGAGGAGTGTGTGTTAGAGAAATAGAGGAGTGTGTGTTAGAGAAATAGAGGAGTGTGTGTTAGAGAAGTAGAGGAGTGTGTGTTAGAGAAATAGAGGAGTGTGTGTTAGAGAAGTAGAGGAGTGTGTTAGAGAAGTAGAGGAGTGTGTTAGAGAAATAGAAGAGTGTGTGTTACTGAAGTAAAGGAGTGTGTGTTAGAGAAATAGAGGAGTGTGTGTTAGTGAAGTACAGGAGTGTGTGTTAGAGATATAGAGGAGTGTGTGTTACTGAAGTAAAGGAGTGTGTGTTAGAGAAATGGAGGAGTGTGTGTTAGAGAAATGGAGGAGTGTGTGTTACTGAAGTACAGGACTGTGTGTTAGAGGAAAAGAGGAGTGTGTGTTAGAGAAGTAGAGGAGTGTGTGTTAGAGAAATAGAGGAGTGTGTGTTACTGAAGTACAGGACTGTGTTAAAGAAATAGAAGAGTGTGTCTTAGAGAAGTAGAGGACTGTGTGTTAGTGAAGTACAGGAGTGTATGATAGAGAAATAGAAGAGTGTGTGTTAGAGAAATAGAGGAGTGTGTGTGAGAGAATTAGAGGAGTGTGTGTTAGAGAAGTAGAGGAGTGTGTATTAGGGTAATACAGGAGTGTGTGTTAGAGAAGTAGAGGAGTGTGTATTAGGGTAATACAGGAGTGTGTGTTAGAGAAATAGAGGAGTGTGTTTTAGAGAAGTAGAGGAGTGTGTGTTAGAGAAAAAGAAGAGTGTGTGTTAGTGAAGTAGAGGAGTGTGTGTTAGACAAATAGAGGAGTGTGTGTTAGAGAAATAGAGGAGTGTGTGTTACTGAAGTACAGGACTGTGTGTTAGAGGAAAAGAGGAGTGTGTGTTAGAGAAGTAGAGGAGTGTGTGTTAGAGAAGTAGAGGAGTGTGTGTTAGAGAAATACAGGAGTGTGTGTTAGAGAAGTAGAGGAGTGTGTTAGAGAAATAGAAGAGTGTGTCTTAGAGAAGTAGAGGAGTGTGTGTTAGTGAAGTACAGGAGTGTATGATAGAGAAATAGAAGAGTGTGTGTTAGAGAAATAGAGGAGTGTGTGTGAGAGAATTAGAGGAGTGTGTGTTAGAGAAGTAGAGGAGTGTGTGTTAGAGAAGTAGAGGATTGTGTGTTAGAGAAATAGAGGAGTGTGTGTTAGAGAAATAGAGGAGTGTGTGTTAGAGAAGTAGAGGAGTGTGTGTTAGAGAAAAAGAAGAGTGTGTGTTAGTGAAGTACAGGACTGTGTGTTAGAGAAATAGAGGAGTGTGTGTTAGTGAACTACAGGAGTGTGTGTTAGAGATATAGAGGAGTGTTTGTTAGAGCAGTAGAGGAGTGTGTGTTAGAGAAGTAGAGGAGTGTGTGTTAGAGAAAAAGAAGAGTGTGTGTTAGAGAAGTAGAGGAGTGTGTTATAGCTGTTGAGGAGTGTGTGTCAGTAAGGTAGAGGAGTGCATGTTAGAGAAAGAGAGGAGTGTCTGTGAGAGAAATAGAGCAGTGTGTGTTAGAGACATAGAGGAGTGTGTGTAAGAGAAGTAGAGGAGTGTGTTTTAGAGAAATAGAGGAGTGTGTGTTAGAGAAATAGATGAGTGTGTGTTAGTGAAGTAGAGGAGTGTGTGTTAGAGAAATAGAGGAGTGTGTGTTAGAGAAATAGATGAGTGTGTGTTAGTGAAGTAGAGGAGTGTGTGTTACTGAAGTACAGGACTGTGTGTTAGAGAAAAAGAGGAGTGTGTGTTAGAGAAGTAGACGAGTGTGTGTTAGAGAAATACAGGAGTGTGTGTTAGAGAAATAGAGGAGTGTGTGTTAGAGAAGTAGAGGTGTGTGTTAGAGAAGTAGAGGAGTGTGTTAGAGAAGTAGAAGAGTGTGTGTTAGGGAAATAGAGGAGTGTGTTATAGATGTAGAGGAGTGTGTGTTAGAGAAGTAGAGTAGTGTGTGTTAGAGAAGTAGAGTAGTGTGTGTTAGAGACATAGAGGAGTGTGTGTTAGTGAAGTAGAGGAGTGTGTGTTAGAGAAGTAGAGGAGTGTGTTAGAGAAGTAGAGGAGTGTGTTAGAGAAATAGAAGAGTGTGTGCTTGGGGAAATAGAGGAGTGTGTGTTAGAGAAATAGAGGAGTGTGTGTTAGAGAAGTAGAGTAGTGTGTGTTAGAGACATAGAGGAGTGTGTGTTAGTGAAGTAGAGGAGTGTGTGTTAGAGAAGTAGAGGAGTGTGTTAGAGAAGTAGAGGAGTGTGTTAGAGAAATAGAAGAGTGTGTGCTTGGGGAAATAGAGGAGTGTGTTTTAGAGAAGTAGAGGAGTGTGTGTTAGAGAAATAGAGGAGTGTGTGTCAGTTAAGTAGAGGAGTGTGTTAGAGAAACAGAGGAGTGTGTGTTAGAGAAGTAGAGTAGTGTGTGTTAGTGAAGTAGTGGATTGTGTGTTAGAGAAGTAGAGGGGTGTGTGTTAGAGAAATAGAAGAGTGTGTGTTAGTGAAAAAGAGGATTGTGTGATAGAGAAGTATAGTAGTGTGTGTGAGGGAAACAGAGGAGTGTGTAATAAAGAAATAGAAGAGTGTGTGTTACTGAAATAGAGAAGTGGTGTTACAGAGGTAATTTAGTGTGTTCTGCTCTCATGTAACTATCCACTGTTCTTCTCTGAAACAGCCTGCAGGGGGAAGCAGAGTCCAGAGCTGAATCACAGCAGAGAGAACAGGACAGTTTATTTTAAGTGTGTGTATGTGTGTGTGTGTGAGTTTATGTGTGTGTTTTGACAGCCCACACAAATTTTCTCCTACACACACTCCACTGCTGCTGGCTCTGTTTATGTGTGTATGTGAGCGGATGTTTATCTGACCCCTCAACTCGAGTAGTACTGGTGCATTATGGGAAATGCTTCCAGGCCAAGAGACAGAAAAGACATAATTTAACCACACACTCACACACACTTTCTCAGACTTGAATTTCTTGGTACCAAAACAGGTCCATCATCAGATTAAAAATTACAACAACAATTCATTATAATAACTGTATGTTTTTTCTAGTTTGCTTTCATTTTAAAGAAAATTAAGGAAAATGAATGAAAATGTTTAAATGAAGCTTTTGCTATACATTATATATATATATATATATATATATATATATATATATATATATATAAAACACACACTCTTCTATATATATATATATATATAATATATTATATATATATATATATATATATATATATATAATGTATCACTCCTTTTTGAAGAAAACCTTGTTTCTCCTTTTTTTTCAGTTTTTGACATAATTTGAAAATGCCTGTTGCATTGTGTGTAAA